TCCATGCGATTTCGCTTTCGCAAATCCACGAAACGCGTAATAAACATTTACGATGACTCCGCACGGAGAAAAAAAATTAGCTACCACAGCTAAATTTTAGCTGTCCATATATTACACATGAAATTTAGTTATCATGCCTAAATTTTAGCTATGACAGCTAATATTTTTTAGCTGTAACATTCTCCGTTAAACTATGGCTAAAAAATAACTAAAATTCAGGTTGCAATATATGGACAGCTAAAATTGAAGCTGGTAGCTAATTCTTTTTTTCCGTGGAGATTCCTTGAAAAAAGAAAGAAGACGAGTTCCCGCGACTTCCGACACGTGTTTACGATACCTCAGCGGCGCCGTCTTAAACCGGTTAGAAGTTACACTGCAGTTAATTCACTGACAAGAGAACTGACGAGAGAAGAGAGGAGTAAGCGCTTTTACAGCGTAGCCGCACCGCTTTAAAGTCAAGCGGCAATAAATCCGCACACACGCTCATCTCGTCGCATTACACGAGTTACAAAGTCAATGTCGCGTCGTCGTAACTCACATCTCGTTTGCCACGACGACGTGGAAATTCGCGAAAGTCGCACGGAAGATCAACCAAGACGTCAGAGAGACTCGAGTTATATAAGAAAACCGCAAGAAGTAAATTCCCTCGCAAATTACAAGTCAATATTCGCATCGTTAACTTTTACGCCGTTTTCTCGTGTCTCGCTCATTATCGGTCAGGTTTAGTTTCCGACGACGGGACATTTTTTTTTACCGTTCATCGAAGGCGAACTCCTTATTCTCGTGAGAATGGAAGAGATCGCGAAGCAATGGAAAAAAAAGAAAAAAAAATAAATGACGGATACAACGGCGATGGAATTCGCGGCTAACGGGATTTCTTGTACGCTACCTACATAAAACGAGATTACGTCTGATGCGGTGGATCAGTATCAGTATCCGAGGAGAGCGATGATGAGAATGCAGAAAGGGAAAATTCGCTTCTCCGAGTTGCGCGCATATTTATTTTTGTTGAATAATTTTTTTTCAACCACACCCGATATCACCGAAACACATTCCGGTAGAATCGAATGCGGCGAATGTAAACGAACCGTGACGTTATATTTATGCAGACTCCATTACTCTGTAATTATATAGCCGAGAGCTTTGGCATTTGCCGCTTTTTATTAAATTGACGCGATAAATTTGTTCGATTTTATATGCGTTTAATTTCTCAGGTAAAATTTAAACTAAAAAATCTGAATAAAATATTTTATCAGCTTATTTTTGTATACGGAGAGAATTTTCTTTTAGAACTTACCCTGAAAATCATGATAATTGTAGGACAATAAATTGTATAGGAGTTTCTCTGATTAATATTTGCTACAATAAAAAATAATAAAATTAATCGAACATATTTTCTATCTTATTGCGGTAAATATAATTTTGTTGTGGTAAAATATTAATCAGAGAAAGTCTTATAAAATTCTTCCAATACCATATGTTGTCCCATGATTTTCAGGGTAAATTCTAAGAGAAAATTCTCTCTGTGTACAAATTTTTCCTTTCAACACATTTTATACGAACATTTATCATAACGCAATTCTTAGCTCGAGTATATTACAATAATGCGTGCGAAAAATTCGCAATGAAAGAGATGAGATTTAAAAAAATATCCCGGATTTGCGGGAAATTGTATGGACTAGTCTGAAAGGATTATCAGCCGCGTCGAATCTTTCTGACTGAATTGGAGCGATGGCATCGCGACAATAACGTGGCCGACAATGACGACTTCCGCGGAAACGCGTGAATAATAATGTGGAGCGGAAGGACGTTTTGTGGAGAACGCATTTAACGATGCGTGCGAGATCAACCAGGCTCGAATATCGCGAGATAAACTGTATCGATAGATGAAACGCACCGCGCAAAGATATAAGTCACACATATCTCTGATCAGTCTCGAACGTCAAAACCAGAATTAACTGCGCGGATAATTGAAGCAGATATGCGCGACCTGTTTGATCACTAGAGATGAATAAATTAATTCTCTGTACGATAAAAAAAAATAAATCTCTCGAAGACGATGAAATTGATCCTTTTAAGTTGTATCACGCTAACTCTCTCCACATCTGACCTTAATGTTTTTCTTCCGCTTACTACCACTTGACACTACCGTTAATTACGTCGAGGCGACATTTCAATTACCATCCCCAGCACATGTCGTCGTACTTCTCTCCCCGATAAATCGTCATTAATCCTCTATCCATTACGATATATATATCTATATATATCGTTCGCGTTACTACGGTATCACTCGAACGATATTACGGCAGGTCACGCACGTGTTTCATCCTCTTCGCGTAATTCTCTCTCGTCAGAGAGAGAGAGAAGAAGATCGATGATATATTATTTTCTCTTATAATTACGGTGACCATTTTTTCAAAGGACAAACTTGAAAATTTTAGGACTTATTTTAACATGTTTTCAAATCAGTTTGCGATCAAAGTTATCACTTCAGGGTGTCTAGCGGTCAGGGAAATTTGGAAAACCGGGCATTGTCAGGGAATTTTATATAAATCGGGAATTGTCAGGAAATTTTACTATTTATCTGATTTTTTCACGTTATTCTACATTTGTCTCAATAATTTTAAATTTTTTATTAAATAAATATAAACTTTTTCTTGTGTTGTTAAAAATCGATTCATCTACAGCGTGTTCGTTAATTTATATTTTTATCGTCGTGTTATTTTATTTCAATGTGTTTAATGAGATAAAACTAAAAAAATTGATATATAACAAATAAAAAAGGTGATTATTTAAATAGTTTATAGTGACATGTTTGTTTCTGAAAATTATACTTGTTTTTGTACAAATTCAAACATTAATGTAACATTTGAAACGCCAAGTAAAAAATAAAAAACAAAATTTTAAAATAAAGGATAAAATTAAGTTTTGAGAAAATGAATAAATCTGAAGAATAGCTAGTTGAAAAAAAGGACTGTCCTTTGAAATAAAGGACAGATGGTCACCGTACTTATAATCTATCAATTTCTTGTGTCTACTCCAGGCGTTATCGATTAATCACGAAGACGAACGCGAGACAAAAAACAGGCCAACCTTGGGAGATGTTCGGATTTTACATCTCCGAATTTAGAATTCCTGAATGTAGAAAAACCGGTTATTTCCCTCTATCTCGCGAAATATCGAATTTGACCAAAAGTGACGAAAACAAAAATGTTCCTTCATCATCCCGATTTCGCGATTATGCAGAATCCTTTTCTTGCATATAATTTTTTTTGTTATTCTCTAATGAAAATAGTACCTATATTTAAATCTATCTTTGATTTATAAATATTTCGAACGGGATATATTTGTATAAATAATAATACAATAATAAGTAAATAAATCTACTTTCGTAGAATTATTCGATCATCCTAGAGAAGGATCTTTCGGAATCTTTTTCGAGGAAAATTTGTTCGCGTCTAGAATAACAGAACGCAGAAAATAGAGTATGAAGGTATGAAGTAACTGTGTTATCGTGTAAACGGATACGGCACGGAATCATTTACGGTTACTTGAAGCCGATATACTTGGTGGAAGCTCGGATTCGGGTATGAGCTCTCGGAAGAAAAGATGCCGCCGTAAAAAAAAACCGTGTGTGAGAAATCAAGTAGCTCTCTCGAATTACCGCTTCTCGATTCGCGAACTTCATCCCGCGATTATTACACCTCGTATTAACGAGCAATTATGCAACATGTGGTGTCCTTATTAGACACAGCACTCGGGTCGATGCGTTTAATTACCTTCTACATTTGCTATCGTTTGCATCGAACTGGACGATTTCAGGTTCGTGAAATTTTTCTCAACAAGATCTCGTTATTTAAACAGTTCGTTCTTTTATAATAGAAAAATATTTATCGAAATTAATCTTAAACTTCTCTTCCAACTCGCTTCCGTCCGTTCTTTCAGAATGATAAATGAACGTTACGTTTTTCCTCTCTTCGAAAATATGTTGTCGAATTTCCTCTGGAAGGAAGGAAAGGAGTTGAGCGAATTACAGGCTTTTTCCCGTATGTTAAAACTTGCGAGGTTTTCTTTTCGCTCGTTTCCTCGCCGGACCAACCGAAGCGAAAACACGAAACCAAGAGCAAAACCGAGCCGGGGTCCAGTTATGTTCTTGTGGGGAAAGAAAGAGAGCGAGAGGAGGGTTCTCGGTTCCCGGTGTGTTAAAGACACGCTCGGCATAGTAAGCGGAAACGTAATCACAGCCCGAGGGGCTAGAGTTCCTCTCGTTGCGTTACGTTGCGAAACTAGGCTTGTGCGTCTGTTACTTTTTATTTTTTTTTTTCTGTTACCCAGACCGCGATCGTATAATGCGATCGGATAGGGAAGGGAAGTGTGCCCTGTTGCGTGTAATCACCGGAAAATCGCGCGCATTGTTTGCATAGCTCGGTCATGTCGGCGGTGACCTGCGGAACAAAAATGGGGAATCCAGAGAAACAGGAAGAGAAAGCTATATTTAACTCTTCGTGATTCTATATATATCTCTCAAAATAGTTCTCCGAATTATAATGATTAAACTAAGAAAAATTTCGCAATTATCGCAGGAACTACACAGAGAGAATCTTCTCTTAGAATTTACCCTGAAAATCGGTAATCGTGGGACAATATGATATTAGAGGAATTTTATAATTTCATTTAATTTTTTAAAAGTAATTTTATAATTTTTTTCCAATTTATTATTATTTATTTATATTTTAATTGGAATTCGAATACCATATTGTCCCACGATTACATACCATGATTTTCAGGATAAATTCTAAGAAAAAATTCTCTCCATATAGATCGATAATATTAGACCGAAGGCGAGCAATTTAATATCCTCTTCTTCGTCGGCTTATTGATTCCGACTATAAGAGACTGAAAAGTATCGCTGCGCAACTCTATACTCTGCACAAGTGTGTTTCACTTGGCTCGCCGACCAATTAACGGCAGTTTAAATTAACGTATCGCATATATTGCAGATGCTTCGACAGAGGAACTGTCACTTCGCCCTGGGATTGCTCGGCTGCGTCCTTTTGTTGTCAACTACTACCGCGGACAATAGCGTCCACGTACTATCCAAGTACGGTCATCAGCCGCTGACCTCGACCACCCTAAAGTGGCTGCCGGTGGCGCACTACAACCCGAACGAATCGAAGGAGATCGTCATCGGGGGCTTCGAGCTATCAGATGGCGAAGGTGCGCGACGACCCTCTTTATCATACAATAGATCTGTTCTTTTTGGCCGAACTAGTTGAAGCTAGTTACAATACATCTCTTCAGCTGTGCAACGTCACGTCATTGTTACGTGTCGGAGACGAGAATGTCACATTTACGTTTGTAGAGAATTAGATCATCAGAATTAATGCCAATTATATTCTCGCGTGACATTAATATCGGAATCTTGCTTCTTCGAGGAAAATTTTGGATATTTCTCGGGAATACTACAGACAATCAGTTTTCTTACTAGTAATGCTTATTCTTACACAGACGAAACTTACGCCAATCAAGCGGAGAAACCGGAAGCGAGGAAACGGTCGCTTTATGTATGTCGCGCGATACACAGCAGCGTCTGGGTGGCCGGCACCCAGAAGGACAAAGAGAGGCGTTGCACGGTGACGATACACGGCGCCGTGGAGTCGTACGAGAAGTATGAACTGCTGGAGAACATCGACGGGGCCGCGCGAATCGCGTGGGTCCACTGGGATAAGTATCTGCAGCCTCATCACCTGGGCGCGGTGTACGTCGGGGACAAGATGCTGATTGCCCGACACGCAGACGAGAACAAGGAACCGCAATACACCCACTACATCGGCACGCTCAACTCCATCGACAACTTCGGCACCATCATCTACGTCAACGAGGTGGTTTTTCGCAAACTGTATTAAAGTCTTTATCTTTGAGAATTAAGTTTGATTCATTTTTCGAGATTTCGTGAAACTGTTGTTTCGACATCGAAACTTTTTCTGGCTCCTTGCCGACTATGTTGGAATTGTGACGTCAGAGACGAGAGAGCATGCTAAAAATTCTTAGATGCCATTTCAAAATAAAAAGCACTTCAGATGGCTTTTTAGTATACTCTTGAAATATCTCGGAAAACTATCCTTCTCCCTTTATAATCAATCAACAGTTGTAAAATTACTGTAATATGAGAAAGTCTGATATAACGATCATTTTACGGGTTGTTGATTGATTGTCAAGGGAAAAGAATAGTTTTCTTGGTATTTTAAAAGTATGCTAAAGTCATCTGAAATAGTGTTTCATCGAAATATCTTTTTAAAAAATGACGTAAGAATTTTGGTGTGCTTTCTCTGACGTCACAATCTGACATGACTGCGCTGCGGATTCAGGAACCTTAACTCTAATATATTCAATTATCCTTTATTATAGAACCGTAAGGAGGAATCGGCAAAATTCGGCGACCTGTTGGTGGAAACCGAGCCGATTCGTTACGAGCTGAGCGCCGTTAAGCTCAACTGGCCTAAGAAGCGCGATATTAAGCCACGCATATCACGCATACTTAGCAACGTGACGATCACCAATCAAGGAACGGAATCGGCAAACTTAGCGGAAGCTTGCACATACACGTACAAGCACATAATCTACTGGGGTCGTAGACACGCCATCCTTAACGGACTGAGCACTACGATTACGCTGGCTAACGGCACGTCCTTGCCGAACATAACGTGGGGCACACGCGACGAGGCGACTCGCACAGAAGCCTACAAGTGAGAATTATTTATCTTTTCATTCCATTCATTCTCTTTCTCTCTCTCGTACACGTAAGTGAATTCCGCAAATTGAAATTCTTTCACGGATATGCGGAGATAAAACATTCTTCGTTTAACGAGGAAGCATAAAGACTTACAAGGGAGATCGATGTTGAAGCAGTAAGTGTCCATTTAACCTTTGGCTTTTAATAAATTCTATTCTCTCATCGAGCTTCGCTTTTACGATAACGAAGCGTGGAACAAGTCTGGACACTCCGTCGCGCATTTAAATGGATCGGAAGAGAATGATCGCGTGAATTCATGGTACGAAGCAACGTTACGTGACATTCGGTCGGTGAAAAAAAGAAGAGAAAAAAGAAAAAGAACGTACGGTTGTTGTACGACGGCATCCGTAAAATCTCATCTCTATAATTAGATATAATTAGAGCTCGGGTTGATTCCGTCTCTTTTGCTATCTCTCATTCTCCTGTAGACGTTTTTCCTCCCAGGGCACTTTGTCGCTTCCTGTACATCATTGAAGCTCTCGCGCGCGGCGGACATGAGACCAGAGTGCATTTTGCGACTTCGTGCCACCCTCTTCCCGCACGATGTGTCCTAGAATGCTCTCCGCGGCTTAAGTGACGCTTCAACGCAACGCAATTACGATGTCCGTGCATCTGATTCGCGCTCCAATTGCAGCGTTACTACGCGATAAACTAACGACGTTTATCTGTTTCGAATCTCCCATCTCGAAAGAGGAGAGAGAAACTTTTAGGTCAGATATTAACGAGGCTTTAAAATTATAAACCTGAATTATTCGGCAGAAGCTGAATAATATATAACTACATAAAGCACATATATATATATATATATATATATTTTATAATTAGATGGTTAATTTTACGGAAACCTATTGATCGACCCTTATCCCAGCTACTTATCACATGTCATATTTATCGCTCCGAAACAAATGAAGAAGAAACTATATAATAACGCGTCTGTTGCAGCGTGCTAGTCTTCCTGGAACCCGGGACGGGCGTGAACGTGACTCTGAGGGCCAACGAGACGGACATCGAGGTGCCGTACACCGCGACGTTGATCTCGCACTACGAAGACGGCGCGACGATGTCACGCGTGATCAGCGGTACCCGACAAGAGGAGACCCTTCTGGATATCGCGGTGGAATTCGGACCCGTCTACTTCCTCAGCAATTACAGCGTGGTGCCGACCACCGTGCCGCCGCCTACGACGACTACCGAACCGCCGACCACGACGATGATCCCGACGTCGACGACAGCGGCAGCGACAACGACGGTGCAGCCGCAGGAGACGACGCACCGACCGGGGCACCAACTGGGCAACAACGCGGCAGACGCAATGGATCACGACGAGAATCTGATCGTCCCACCGAAGAAGACGGACATGTCCGGTATGCAGAACGATGACGACGGCGGGCCTTTGTCGCTGAAGAACAAGGGAGACATGTATTCCGGGGTCGCGTGCGCAAAGTCGAGCTTGTTGGCGCTCGTCGCCCCGTCGATGCTACTACTGATTCTCCATAGAATCACGTGAAGATCATTCGAGTATTCGCGCGTCGCCGCCGCCCTCCTCTAACGTTAATTCCTATAAATTCCCCCGCAATAGTAATATATAACAATATAACCCAGTAGACGTACCGAACGAAACAAAAAAAAAGATTTAAAAAAAGAAAACGCAGAAAAAAATATATAATACGCGAAAGAGAGATCGTTGTAATTTCGTATAATAGCGATTATAGCGTGAACGACTTCCTCCTTATTATTTGAACACGCACCAGCTGAATCACATCGGCATTGCGGTGCCGATATATGCTTGCCTTTAAAAAAAACTCGATATATATGATATATAATACGATACACAAATATCTATATTATTATACACATGTACACACACGTCTTAGGATAGCACGAGAAAAAAAAAGAAAGTTGTGTCTTCGCGATTGAACTGAGATGAGAGCTAGTCTCGACAATGAAAGTCAAGTACAAGAGCGAGATGCGTAATTTGGATCAACTTGAACGCGAAATGCGTTTATCCGTTATACTGTTGAGGAATCGACCGCGTGGTACACTGTGACATTCCGTCTTTTTCTAATCCCGCTGTGAGTCGTGACTTTCCAACTTATAATGTCCTATGCCTTTGCAAAATATATATAATTCTATAGATCCTTTAAAAGATCCACTAATCGCTTCGACAAAAAAAATGACGGCAAATTATTTAGAGATTATTATGTCCAGGGAGAGAGAAAGAAAAGGGAGAGCTATATACAATTGCCGTGAATAATATCTCGGATAAGTAGTAGCGTAAAATAATGTAATGTCGGAAGGTAAAGTAAAAATATAAGTTAAGCAACGGAAGAAAAAGAAGAGAGCAAGATACGCCAGTTGATTCAGCTACGATATATTTTTGAGAGATTGCCGTATAATTTTAGAAGATTGTAAAATTTATAAGGATAGCAAGTAAGAGAGAAAAACGTATAAAGAAGAGAAAGAGTATAAAAGTGGATGGGTACACGTTCTCGCGATAATTAATTCGATCAAATTCCAAAGCTATGATCGTGCAAATCGCACTATTTAATATGCAATAACAACAATAAATATTTTTCTTTAGCTTTAAAAGAACAGAAACAAGATATGATGTACGATTCAATATATATATATATATCTATATATGTACAATATATATATATATATATCTATATTTGTACGTACCCATCTCTTACACTCTGTAAAGTGATAGGATCTGCGAATATCCTAAAATACTGTTGAAAAAGATTGTAAGCGAAAAGAACCACTGGTATATATAATAATTGATATTGTTAAGATTATATACATGTGTACATATATATAATCTTAATAATTTATTAATAAGTGGAATAGAATATTTTGGTACGTGTGCAAAATATAAAATTATTAAGTTTGGCATTTTGTGGAAATATTTTTGTTTAACTCGAATTACTCGAAAGATTAAGAAAACAAGAAGACGTATCATTTTTTTTCATACGCAATTGCGTTTCTCAGTGTTTTTACCGAAGAAGTTTTTTCTATATGTATATAATATGTAATTCTATATGATCCTTGATAGTTGTATTTGTGTAGTGAGCTTATTTATATAACATGATTTATAGATATTTTCTCTATCGATAAATAGAGCGTTACAAGTACAATTCTTATATATATTTTACTATTTAACCGTTAGGATTAACGCGATACACTTATTTCTTCGGACTAAAGCGGATGCTTTGTCTCCGTGTTTCTAACGACGTTTATCGACGTCTAAGCCTAATCAACCACACTTGTTGTGATATTCAATGAAACTTTACATAAATGCAAAGAGAAAAAAGAACACTGTTGAACAATTCGTTAATTATGAGAAAAAAAGCAATAATTTTATTGCGAGATAAGGAAAGATTTGCAAAGTGTTGCGAAAAAGAATAAAAGCGACGATGGAAAAAAATTCAAGTAAAATTTGTAGTCTCTTTATGCGTGAACGACGACATTTCTTTAATGTTTCGGGTAAATGAATATAAATATGAAGCAGCGCTTGTAAGGCAACGTAAATTCGAAAAAGGAAACCGTACGACTTTATACGATTCGAAATCATAAATATCTATTGCTTCTTGACAATTCACCTTATATCTGCCGATAGGCAGATACATAAATGTCCTAAAGAAACTAGCTATCGACTTCGGCAAAGCCAAGAATTATTCTAAAAATACCTATACTCGACGCAGATGTATTATTTGTGAATATACTGCTGTATTGTACATTATCATGTAAATATAAATACTATGTACATATACAAAAATTTTCCTTCCATTGATGGAAATACTACCAATCTTTGAATCGTCGACTAAATGAATCTTATCAAGAAAATTATAAACATTTTTTACAAAAATCAAAAAAGATGCATTAATTTCAAAAGAGTACAATCAATCTTTGGCAAGCTTTAAACTACAAGATTTGCTTAAATTTCTTCAAATTTTTATATTGCAAAAATATTCTTGTATCTTCCTAAATCAGTTTCAATAAAAATTTGTGAAAAAATTTTGAAAATTCTAAATACCAATTAAATAATTTTGTGATACAAGATCTGATATTTCAAGTAGATGGTAGGTACTTTTTCTACACACACAATGTATGTATTTAAATTATATATAATTTCACAAACTCACCAAGGACGCCATATTGTTGTGGAGTAAGTCTTACATCATCATCTGGTCCTCCTGGCACAGAAGATATGAGTGATGCACGATCACTTATATGACTCCTAGTACTGGCTTCGCTTCTTCTTGCCCAAGACGCTTGTGACAGCACATCTAGATATTTAGCACAGTATAAATAATATTGCTTAACTTTGCTTTGTTTATATAATCATTAACAGTTTATAAGAATATTTATTAAGTTATATTTAATATATAATTTGTGTAATGTGACAATATTATAAAAGTATTACCAAAATTGGAATTCTTAACACTTAATCTTGTTTTATAATCTCTGAAAGGCCTTCTGGAGGGTGGGAGAGGATGTCTTCGTCGTCTCTTTAAAAATTGTGCCAATCCTCCCAATAGTATTGAACCACTAGCAAAGCAGATAATGAAAATCTAAAAAAATATATAATTAATAATTAGAGTTATACTTTTGTGTGAAATAGATCGGTACTATAATAAAAAAATTTTTAGGCGATTGTTATATATTTTAACTATGCAATTTTTTTTCTATATTATTATATAACGACAAAATACAAATAATTGAGGTATTTGCTATAACCTCGAAAAGCCGACAACTCATTCTTACCTTTTGCGTGCGAGAAAAGTGTATCGCCGGTAACGAGAACATGTAACGTTGATATAACGCACCGAAGAATTGCCGCACATTAAAAAGAGACATTGTCATTCACTTTCTATTATAAACAATATTATAAACCGAAATTCACGCGCGCCAATAAACCAATGATCGCGGATTCTAGAGAGCGAAGAAAGAACTTTCGAAATCCTTTTGCGCGAAGACCGCCATCTGCAGAATATTACAACAAATATTTTTCAAATTTTATCGATAAGATAGATTTAAAAATTCTCTTTTATAATTTTAATTCTTTTATCCAATTTCTCTTTTGCAATTATATCTTTCTTTTATTTTAATAGTTTATTGTAATTTTGAAAAAAAAAATCGAAAAACATGTTTGTATCACTTATGAAATTTTCCTCTGAGGGTGATAGAGCTTTATTTTTTTTCAACATACTAAATATAGTTTTTGTTTATAAAAAGATAGAATTTTGTAACGCAACCAAAAATCATTACACAGTCAAGCAATATCGTCCCAACTGCAGGAATCGAAATAGTCTTCATCGATTTCGAGCATTTCTTTAAGATCTTTCGCAGAGGAAGATGCTTTTGAAACTGAATTATTCTTCTCATCATCCTGCGATTGTGATTGCTCTCCCGGCGACAAAGAGATATTCATAAAGGAAGTCAGATCTCGTTGTCCGTATTCTTTCTGCGACGAGGTGTCAACATTATTTATCGATAAATCCTGATTGAGGCCAACCTCATTCAAAACACTCAGCTTTTTTTTTATCAAAGGCCACAAATGATCATCTGCCGTGTTTTTCGCCACCAGATATTGTATCAAAACGTTTTCGTTTTGTCCAATTCTATGCACTCGGTCTTCTGCCTGGCATAAAATCTGAAATAATTTCACACAATGGAAAAATAAAATATATATTGTTTTATTAGAAATTATATATTATTTTAAAAAATTTGAATATATTACATATATAAAATTATATTAATAAGTGTGCTTGATAAATATTACTTACACCAGGGTTCCAATATAATTCAGCAAAGACCACTAGATGCGCAGCTGTTAATGTAACGCCAGCATTTGCAGCAGTAATTGATAAAACTGCTGCCAAGCAATTATCGCATTCCTGAAATCTATCAACTTGAAGTTTTCTTTCCTCTGGATTAGTTTGGCCATCTATTCTTATATATCTGGGGAAATTGCAATTGTTATAATATACAACAGATAAATGAAAGAAAAAATTATAAAAGAATTAAATTTTTCATGAGTTTATATGAGACTATAAATTATAGATTTACAATTATAAGTACTTACTCTATCCCCTTAGATTCAGCAACTTCGCAAATGGCATCCAAAACATTGCGATGATGAGCATACAAAAGGCACTTCTTCTTATTTTCAAATAAATCCGTAACATAATTGCTATAAAGTTGAATTTAAATTTTTTGAAACAGATTGTCAACATATTTTTGAAGAAACAATTATACACATGTACATAGTACATACATACCATATTGCTTTAATTCTTGCAAAACTAGACTCCCTAAAATATTCCAGTAAAGTATTATGTTTCTCCCTACCTGTGATCATTGACTTTTGTAATTTTTTTTCTATTTTGGTCATTTGCTTATCAGTTTTGATCAAATGAGGGTCTAAAATAATCACTTGCCTAAAACATGCAGATGTATATCAAAAACACATAGTGTATATTACATAAAGCTTTCCCACAATTATTCCTATCCCAAAAATGTTTCTTTCAAAAACATTTTCTTTTCGAGATTTAACCCAACCTTGTTTTAGATGGCAATTGGCTTAACACATCAGTTTTCGATCTTCGAATCATGCAAGTGGTCTTTAACAATACTTCTAACTCTTTCGCATTTGAGGAACCAATAAAATTCCAACCATAATCTGTCATCTGCCCTGCACAGTATCGTACACCATAATTTTCATAGCTGCAAAATACAATGCTTCTAATAAAATTCTATACACATATATTTACATATATAGAGTACTTATAAATAAAATACTTCATTGTTGCCTATTTAAGTACCTTATAAAACGTGGTAAAATCAGACTGATTTGAGAATGTAGTTCAATTGGTCTTGACAAAGCTGGAGTGCCAGAAAGTAATACAACATGACGCGCATGGGCGCATATCCGTTGAGCAGCTTGAAATCTTGCAGTCTTATTGCTCTTCAATGCGTGAGATTCATCCTATGATTAATTCATGAAATAAAATACTAGCAAGTTTAGCAACATTTGTGTTATCAATATGTTAAATATAACATACCAGAATAACAAATCCATACATATGTTTCTCGAATGTAATTACAGCTCGCGATAATATTTCATATGAAATTATAGTAATTTTCTCATCTCCAATACAATCCTTTGTATTTAGAAAATGATGAACATAATGCACAGGTATAGATGGCAAAAATTCATATATTGCTTCAGACCATTGATACCTAAATGAGAAGTATCTTTATAATATCAATATCTTTTCATTATATTGATTGTAAAATATTTACCTAACTGATGAAGGAACTACAATTAGAAGTGGCCAGCTTTCTTGGAAGTAATGTGCTATGCCTAATGCTTGTATAGTTTTCCCTAAACCCATATCATCCGCAATCATACAACGACCACCTTTTGATATACCAAAGCTAAAATAAATTTATTATATATCGATAAAGATATATATACATATACATACACAATATACATAATTGCTATAAAAAAATTTACCAAACGCCTTCTTGTTGAAACGGCATTAAATTGCTTATTAATTTGTTATCTATTTTTGACAGATCCTGTTTAAGTATATTTTCTTGCTCTGGCTTTAATCTTTTTTTGAATATCTAAAATGAAGAATGTTTCTAAAAATTTATGCTTTTATAGTTATCATATTATACTTTGTATTAATATTATCAAATTACTTGGAGAATATTTTGTGGTATTCCATTGACAGATATGTTAGACTTATGGTTCTTCAATTTTTGTATTAAACTGTCATAATCATTGATATGAAAATCCCATATTCTAGTTTTTACATCTGAAAAATTAAACAAATAAATTACAAATACTATATTAGGGTGTACATTTGTGTTCAATCATAATTTATAATATAACTATACCATATGATTTGCTTGGAAGTGTTTTGAATGTATCAATAACTGTAGGATCAAATGTTGATATATCTATCGCAAATCTCTCATTGCTAATCATATAACATTTGCTTGTTAAAATCGAAGTTCGACTAAAAAAGTTCTTTGCTTCCATGGGGTTAAAACGATTGTTTAATTTATTTGGTCTCATAACATTTGTACCATCATTAGAGTTTGATTGTTGTAATGGACTATTTTTAGGTGTAGTTTGCATTTTCAATTGAGCTTGTTGTCTCCTTTGTAATGCTAGCAAACGTTTCTGCTCAATTTCGGCAGGTGAACATCTCTTTTCTAGAAAAGGAGTAATTTTAGATTTTACTGCTGAAATATTATTCCATAAAAACAAAATCTCGTCTTTTAGAAAAAGATTATACCCATTTTATCCATTTATATCCTTTCTTTGATTCACTAACTATAAAAAAATAAGTATATTTTGTTTCTTTCTCGTCAATCAAAACAAGATAACTACATCAACGGCGTTCTTTTTACTAAAATATGTTTCTTTACTTGTACATTTCGATCAGCTGATAGCAAACAATAAGACGACAAGCGTACGTAACTAGGACACAGATTAATAGATATCTGTGACTAGGAAATATAGTAAGAGCATAATAATTGTGTATAAATTATTGTAAAATACGAAAAATAAAGTAGTTATATTATTAATAAAATATAAAACATTGAAAAAAAATTAATTTTGAAATTTTTGCAATATTTAAAAAAAAGCATTACCTAAAATAAATAAAATGTAAAATTGTACAAAATAAACTTTAATTATTAATTTAATTATAATTATAAGAAAAATATTTTACTGCATTTCTTTATTATATAAGCTCTATCGAAAAACACTAAAAACTTTGGAATTTCAAAAATTATCTATTTGACATTTCTATTTTCCCGTTGGAAAGATCCTAAAATGTCTTCTTATAAGGTTTACCGGTACCGCTACCTTGGGAAGGGAACTACAATTATATACCGTTCTTTTTACCTAGTACACGACGTAGTTCACGTCTACTTTCTCGGAGGGCGCATTAGTACACGAGTCCACTGAATCGCGGCGGTGGCCGCTCTCAGGTTTCTCTTTGCGTCTAGTTTCTTTGTTAGTAATTTACTAGACGTGCAATCAAAACGTCGCATGTGTCTCATCTTATAAAATTTATGACCAATGATTGAACGTGTTGTCAGTGAGGTTGGATCACTGTCAACAATAATTAAAAGGCTATGTTGTGTATATAATTGAATATAATAATTATTTTACATACATTATATTATAATGCTAAAAATGGGCAGTCAATTAAAAAGATATCTCTTTTGGTTTGCTCATGAACATGTTGATTTTCGATTGGCTGTAAGTATTTCTTTTGTATAAAATATTTTTAATAGTTGTAAATTGTAAAAAACGATTATTCGTAAAATGCTATTATATTTTTATATACTATTGTATTATATTTTACACTTGTATAACTTATAAAAATTTTTACATATTTGAGAAATATTTTTGTTTGATTCTTTATAACAATAAATTATAAGATTTTAATGTCTTATTAAAATATGTAAAAAACAGGAATGTAATATCTTTATTAAATAAATTTTTTTTTATTATATACGTCGTATCGTTGTTGCTAGAAAGCACCCATGGTTTATTGTAATAATAGCATATATATTTATTTTTTATCTAATATAAATGCTATTATATTCTTGTAATTTTTATATGTGCTAGATTGAACATTATTTTTTATTTATTATATTTCAGGAAATGCAATCTATATTTGAGATGTATAGCATTAATCCACACATAATAATCAGACCAAAGGAACATGTAAGGAAGTATGAACATTATTAATTATACATATATGTATGTTAATATATATACTCTTCTTATATTACATTATTGTATGCAAGAAGCATTTCTCAGTTTTACTATATAATATGATTTGTAATTTATACTATAAAAGAATTTTTTAAGTGTATAAAAAATTTTATAAATTATTTATATAATTATTATTATATATAATAATTTAAATATTATATATATATCAAATTATTTAAACAATACAATTTGTGAAATATCCACATAACATTGCATGATTTAGAAAGATATCAGATCTTAATCATGTTTATTTAAAGAATTTTATTAAGCTATTTTAAAACTTAATATGTAATGTACTGCAAACAAAGAATAACATATAATAGAATTAAATATATTAAAATTTTGTTTTAGCCATACTGGATTGTGGAATTATCTGATGAAAATGTTGTACATCAAATTGTCAATAGAGCAGTTTCGTTACGTTTTTGTTTGGAATTGTGGGCACAAGGCAAACAGAAGAAAAACTTACATGATTCTTTGAAAACTTACTCAGTCAAAAATATCACTGGAGAGAAAAGATCATTCAAGATTGTAGTGGAGACTTTCTGTAAACATTTCTCACAGAGGGAGAAAGTAGATAAGATTGAAGTAAGTAGATACTTAAATATTGTACTCATTGTACTGATAATATTGTATTAGTGTTATTCTAGAATTGTATTTTAGAAATGCTAATTATTTAATAATACATAATGTATATAATATTAATGTAGTGTTATTAACTTAATGCAATATTGGGGAAAGTCTTTCAGTTATCTACCTCTTGAAGGGCCAGTCAAATTGAAAAATCCGGATATCACTTTATACTATATAGAATATTATGGACTTAATCCTAACAGTATTCCTGATGAGCCATATGAATATTTCTTTGGAAGATGGGTGAGTAATATATTTATATACATCAAAAATAGTTTTTTTTGCAGATTATAATATAATTTTATTACAGGTTGCTGATGGCCAGCGAGAATTAATTCAAAAGTTATCATTAAAAACTAGAAAATTTATAGGAAACACCTCAATGGATCCACAATTGTCTCTGATAATGGCAAATCAAGCACAAATTAGAAAAGGCGATCTAGTTTTAGATCCATTTGTAGGGACAGGTTCCTTGTTAATTGCTGCATCTCAATTTGGAGGATATACATTTGGCACTGACATTGACTTTTTAATGCTTCATGGTCGTACGAGACCTACACGGATATCACAAAAGGTAGAAAGCTAATTTTTAGAATTAAAAATTTTTATCGAACATAAAAAAAACTGAATAATTATTATATTATGTACAATACTAGATAAGAGAAAAAGACGAAAGTATCGCAACAAATATGCGTCAATATGGAATGAGTTCCTATTATCTTGATGTAGTAGTAGCAGATTTTTCCTATCCACTCTGGCGAACAGATTTACGAATAGATGCTATTATAACAGATCGTAAGTACAAAAAATATTGCACAATATCCTCAATTATAAATTATAAAAATTCTCTTAGATTTATAAGTAATTAAAACAACTTGTATCTTATGATACAAAGTTAATATATTTTTTTCTTATAGCGCCTTATGGTATAAGGGAGGCTACAGAACGTATAGGTACCATGAAAATAAATCCTGTAATAGAGGAACATCAAGCAACCTCTCACATTCCTTCTAAAATTGGTTATGGCCTGAATCAAATATATAAAGATTTATTATGTTTCTCCGCGAGACATTTAAAACTCGATGGTAGATTGGTGTGCTGGTATCCATTGTTTAGGTACATATATATATATATATATATATATATATATATATTTGTATGTAATTAAACGTAAAAGATATAACACTAGTTAATTATTAATTAACTTGTAATTGGTATAGATAATTATATTTACTAAATTTATAATTTAGGGACCTATACACAGAAGATCAGTTACCAGCACATCCTTGCTTACAGTTGTTGGCTAATTCTGAACAAGTATTGAGCAACTACACTAGTAGAAGATTATTAACTTACAAAAAAATTAAAGAGCCAGAAGTATGTATGCAAGCTGTTCAGTTTTACTAACATTTCTTTTAACTCTTCTATATCTTCAATATTTAACAGGCTACTGACGAGAGCATCATCATGGATTTAACGGACTTTCGTGAAAAATATTTTGCATTACGCGAAGAAACAAGAAAAGAAAAGCGAACGAGAAAAGCCACGGAAAGAGCGAAAAAACGAGAAGAGTGGGAACGTAGAAATAAGGAAATCACTGAGAGATGATTGTAAAATTTTGTACAGCAGACATTAAATGTCTTTGTTTAATTTTATATACGTTTTTATAAGTATTTTAGTCCTTATGCATGTATATCAGATTGTTTGGAAAATTTTCTTAATTTATATTTGCTTCACATATAAAAAATTAAAACATTTTCTAAATAACTTAGTAATTGAAAAGATATATAATTATTCAAAAATATTTGAAGATATTCCAGATGTGGCCTGATTTTGCAATTTGTGTGTACTAGGTACAGAATAATTTTAAAGATTAGATATGAAAACAATGATTTGGAAATAATATTTTTTGCATACAAGTATCTTATCCATCAACACATTTTTATTTTTATTGCATTTATTTGTGGATATAACCAATACTTAATAGGACATGAAAATCAACAATGATATTATTAGACAACAGAGAGAGCCGAGAGACCGATACTACAATAATAACTTACATATTTACTTAAAATATATATAATAAAACACAGAGATATATATATATTTAGAAGATAGTTACGTATGTAGTGCAGCTAATTTGAAACCTATTAATTGACTGATTACTAATATCAACATATGTATTTTACATTGACAAAATTTATACCCAGAACATATTAATTACATTACATAATTGAAACAGAATAAAAGATAATACTGTTTGATTATATCAATCATGATCAAATTTTTATTTTTTTTTAACTGCATAGAGTTATCTAAAATTTCTCGTGCTCGATAGATTCTTTGGAAATAGTTATATGCAATGTGTTTAAACATATGCTATTTACTTTTGTTACAAAATTAAAATAAATATACAATTTGTCAAAGATAACAATACCTAAGCTTCAAGTTGCAATTGTCCTAGTAAACGTTCTACATTCTTAACATCTTCATTTGAAACTTTACTTTCATATTGTTTCTCAATTTGTTTACTAGCCCATTCGCTCAGTTTTATTGCTTCCTTCTTCTTAGATGCAGGGCATTTAGGTGATGTTGCAATATTGTTTGTTGTCTAAAAAAATATATTTACAGAAAGCTTTCCATAATTAATATCTAATATTATATATAATTTTGAAACTTACTAATAACAAGCCATATAGAGCTCTAATATTATTTGGATTTAATTTAGCTGCTTGGCAAAAATATGCTTTTGCTAACTCCATGTTATCAAATCCGCCCTGTATGAAAAGAATATAATTAAAATATATAATTTAAATATATATAATTTATATATAATTAAAAAAATTATCTTTATATATAAATTTCAAAAATTATAATATTAAAAGATATTTTAATTTAAAAATATTTCAAATATATTTTATTCGATAAGATAGTTATTTATTTTTATTAATTTATTTAATTAAATAAATTTTGTGACTATAGGTATAGCTATTGAAATATAATATAAAAGCAAATGTGGTCATAAAACCTTAGAAGCATCTCTCTATTACCTGAGAATATTTTATTTCCGCATATCTTTGGTAAATTAAATGGCTGTGTGGATTATGCAATATAAGTTCTTCCATGCAATAGGCTGCTTTAGAATACTCTTGTTCTTGCAAATATAGGTCACATAACTCGTGCCATGCTTCTTGATCGCTCATAAATCTAGATAAATCATTTTATACATGTTACTAATACATTTATAATTAAAAAAAATTTATAAAAATATATTTATACAATATACTTATAAATATAAATATCTTATAAAAAAATGATAAAATTTTTAAACATGTCAATATATGTTAAAATTTGAAACACATCACTAACCTTTTCAGATATTCTGTAAGTTCCTTGATTGCCTCTGGAATACGTCCTCGAGCTTTCAAAATAGCGACACGACGTTTTCTTGGTGCTGCATTAGTCTCGTCTCTCTTTATGATAGAATCCAAAACTTCCATTGCTTCATCATACCTGAAAAATATATGATAAATTGTTAGAACAAGTATATATATACATATATTGTTACATATTTACAAATATATAATAATATATATACATTTCTAATGCTTCCAAATGCATAGCATGATATTTGTGAACACGCAAGCTACCAGGAAATGCACGCATTAGAATTTTAATGCAATATTCGGCAAGTGGCAGGCGATAACAATCCAACGCAGCTACACACACTTGTTCCAGAACCAGATATTCTAAATAAAATGGAAATATTAAAAATATTTTTATAAAAAAATGGAATATTATAAATACTTTCATAAAATATTTAATTTTCATAAAATATTTGATAAAAATGGTATTATTCAACTAAAATTTTAATAATAAGAAAGTGTATATTAATTGATCATACTTTCATTGCCTAAACGATCAATCTTTCCTATTAATGTATTTTCCCAAAAATCTACTACATCTTTACTTCGTCGTTCGGAATCTTCTCTCCAAGTTCTCAATAAATCTCGTACCTCTGTATAACAAAATCATGAAAAATCGTTATTAAATATAAATAAAAATATATTTATAATTTACAAAATAATTAATTATCAATACTAATAAAACAATTTATAAAAGTGCTTCTTTTTACATTTAGTAAATTATAAATAAAGAAAATTTTTAATATATTTTAATAAATAAGATACATATACAAATGTACATGTCATCGAAATAATTTAAAAATATGAGACTAATATTGAATCTTGCAATGATTTATATTCTTTTTACGAAACTTTTTTTTTTAATCTTGAAATTGTAAGATTTTTTAAACCAATTAAAATTTGTTATTTCGTGAATTCAAGTATCTAAAGAGGATGACGTATACAACAATATGCATCAACTGTCACATACGATTCCGAAACTCACCTGTCCAAGATAATTTGTCGTAACACCCTGCCATTGTTACCGCTTTATAAAATCGGAGAAACTTCTGTAGGAGCGAACGAAAGAGGGTGAAATGAAATAGATGTCACGCGTTATTTTAAAGGTTATACGATGTGGCATGCAGCGCTCGCGAAACGTAATGTAAACAGCATCTAGCAGAATTTAGATGCATTTGTAGAAATTCTTCATGCTTCGTAGAAATTCAAAGTTATACTGCCGCTCCCAGAGACTCTTGTCTCGTAATTGCTCTAATTCGCTCGAGATAGCGTAAAAAGATAATTGTGATAAATAATAGATGATATATATATGACGGGTAAAGTCCGGACTTGGGGAAGAGGGAGAATGACAACTACATACGTACCAATACGTACATATGTACTTTACCACGTCATTGTGTGCAATTAATGTACCTGTGGTCATGATAAAACATATGATTAGCCAACTCTTCTATCATATATGCGAGCGATTTATATAAATATATTTAAATATTTTCTCATATATTTATTATAATAATACACGTATATGTGTAAACATAAGACGCGTTTCATATATACATCTTTTGTATGTGTAGTTTTTGCAAAAAATCCAGAATGTATCCTATTTTATTTTAAGTGCAGAAAGTGCTATAAAGTACAATTGAACAAACGGATGTAAAAAAATGTAAAGATCTATCGAAATGTCAAATTATTTTTTCCAATAATTAATAAATAAAAAATAAATAAAATTAAAACAAATTAAAATTTCATATTTTACTTCTAATTCGCAAAACATTATGTATAGAAATATAAATATATAGAAATATTTCTAATTTCTATGAAAAACACAAGTACGCCATATTGTTGACACAGGCAGGTGTCAAAACCAATCACGATCGCCGATTTCAGTTATGTTGCTCCTCAGCGATGTCTGATTGGCTGCAGCTGAAAAAAACAAGATCACTTTTTTATGACGCTATGTATATATACAATCTGACGGCTGCATGCGCACTAGCAGTCAATCAGTAAACATTCCGGGTGATGCACGGTTTGCGTGATTTGACATATTTGACAAATTTCGGAGAAATTTTGCATGTGAAACGTCACACGCTGTCAGGCTTAAAATTCGTGGGAGATAATATCTCGTTTTTTTTTAAATACTTTTTTCATCATGGATACGGACAGACCTCTGCACGAGGATTGGAAAAAACGGGTATATTACTGGCTCTCGTTTGTCAAACGCAATATTATAATAGGAAGCATTACAAATGTTACGCGATTCCGCATTACACTGTCATTACACGCGTCTTCGTAAATCAATTCGTTATCTTGACGCTGAGTGCATTTTAATTGTTTTTTAATATTTAATTGTTATTAAAATACCTGACATTAATTATATATACAGTGTATTGATACAACTTTTGTTTGCTTCACAGTAATCTCATCTTGTTTAAGATGCTTAACAATAATATGTTTATATCTATCAATTATAAAATAAATTTTTATATTTCCAGGCTTTTGTGGGACCATTACCGGATAGTTTCTTGAGAATAGAAGAGCGCAATGCACAACTGCAACAAGAAGCGGCAGATCAACAAGCTGCTTTAGCTCTCCAACAGCAGATGCAAAGTATGCCGGTGACTCATGATCCACGAGTGGGTAGGCTTAGTGTAACAATTTCTCAGGTAATCTGTCTTCTCATATGTATGAGATGTATTTATTGTTTAATTGACTTAAATAAGCCAACATTGCAACAGTCTGCACTTTCTTGTGTTAAAAAGCTATTTTTCTTAGGCCAAATTAGTGAAAAATTATGGAATGACAAGGATGGATCCTTATGTGAGGTTACGAGTAGGACATGCAGTATATGAGACACATACAGACTCAAATGGTGGAAAAAATCCACATTGGAACAAAGTTATCCAGTGGTGAGAATGCATATATTTTGTTTTCATATATTTCAAGAAATATATATATATATATATATATTGTATGTATAAGTGTTTCAATATTTATCTCATTGTAGCCTCTTACCACCTGGAGTTACTCAAATATACATAGAAATTTATGATGAGTGTTCCTTCGTGATGGATGAATTGATTGCATGGGGTCACATAGAAATTCCGCCGCAAGTTATTCAAAAGGGAGAGACGCACGAAGATTGGTATATGCTTAGTGGGAAACAGGGAGAAAATCAGGAAGGCATGATCAATTTAGTTTTTAGTTACACGGTACAAACAATGAATATTATTTACCTTATCAATTATATTTATATCATTTTTTATGTTTAAAAATTACAGATTGTCTTAAATTATATAGTTATTTAAATTTAGAATTTAACTACCATTGTGTAGTCTGCATGTTTATGATACTTACTATGGTACTTTGTTAAGGAATTATTTTATCCTCAGAAATTTTATTGTTTTTTTCATTAAATGCTAATCTGTTGTAGAATAAGTGTCACCCATACATGAGTTCCTCGATAATGATGGTTCCTTCTGCAACGCCGATGTTCGGCGTACCGTATGCCCCGGTAAATGTTTACACACCACCTCCAGCTGTTGCACCAGCAACAGTTGCACCAGCAACAGTTGCACCAAGTTCTTTGCCAAATGCTGAGGTCGAATTGAAGCAGGTATTTAATGCATATCTCAATAAATGTTCCTTTTGTTATGTTCACATAATTGTAATCATACTTTACAGATTGCAGAAATGTTTCCAAACATTGACAAAGAAGTTATCAAATCGGTATATGATGCTAATCATGGTAAAAAAGATGTTACAATTAATTCGTTGCTTCAAATGTGTGAATAAGTCAATTTTTACACAGTTTGCCATGTCACTTTATCGTATGTTCTTTGTTGATAAGTATTCCTTTGGAATATAATGTACGAAAAAGTCTAATTTGTATAATACTTCCATACGTAGTAATTAAGATAAAATATAATAATTAAGATCAGAGTATATTATTTGAGAATATGAAATGATATCCTTTTAAAGGAAAATATTACTTTTAACATTTTTATTGTGTATTAATTAATAATTTTTGTTACATATGTTATTTGTTATTTCAGAGTTTATATTATATTTTCTCTTTTATTTCTCTTTAAAAGTATTTATTTTTTGATTTTGTGAGAGTATAGATAGAAATATATTATCTATATTAATCTCTACATATAATTTAAATACACATTGTGTATTCTACAAAATTGTAAGAAGATATACGCTTAATTGATAATTGCATATCAATTGTAATAAATGTTAAATGTATATAATTTGTACAATTTTATCTGTATCAAAGAGGTAAAAGAATTCGAAAGAAAGTGTCAGGAAATATTGAAAATTTTATATATAAACAATGGAACTATAGTTATAAAAATAATTAGTATTGAATATGTATTTCTTATTGTCGAGTTGCAAGGTTTGCCATTGCCTGTGTCTTCACAAACGCATGCTTCAATAGTATATCCTTCAGTCTATAAAAGAATATTACAATATATTATATCCATACTTCATTATCGAATAATGTTAATTTATACATATAGTTACAACTGTAGAATTAATTCTGAAGATATATATATATATATATATATATATATATATATATATATATATATATATATATAATCTACTTTATAATCTACTTTTATATATGATACATACATATGTAACATAACAGCCTGATGTAACCGCTATTGCCTGGTCTTCTATGACTTTTCCACAAAAATAACTGGCATTTATAACTACAAATAACATTGATATTGATACAGATCATGCATATAGATTTTCTAATCTGTTATAAAATATATTTACCCGCTTTATTATATATGTATAAATACTTTACACAAACAGAACCAAGTTCCAATTTACAAAAATAGTCTGTCGAGTTTGTCCAGTTCGATATTTCAGTTGTATCTGGCATCTGGTCGCCTGAAAAAAATGTTATACAAAGAAAATACAAAGAATTAATAAAATTAAATATAAATATCAAATTATAACACTCACCGGGATATATAGGATCTACACAAGGAATATTTGTATAGTTTTGGTTGAAGAGTTTGCAATCTAACTCTCCCTCTTTGATTCCTCGACCTGGCCATGTAAAATGGAAGCATGATTTAGTTCTGGCATCTGAAATATAAAAGTAGAATATAAAAAGTATAAAGTATAGTAAATATAAAAGTATCCGGAATATAAAAGTAGATTCTGATTTAAAAAAAGAAAGAAAAACTATAAAAAATTGAAGCATTCAATCAGGAAAACTGAATATGAATTAAATGGAGAAATATCAAATAATTTTACATTATAATATATAATTTAATTTATATTTCTTTTATGTCGCATTTATTTATATTTATATAATTGCAGTCATTAAAATCACATTTTTTCTCATAATATGATACAGATTAAATCAAATTTTTCTCTTCCATATTTTTATATATAATTTATAATGTGTATGTGTATGATATATATACAATATTTATACAATGTGGCCTGTCTTAAAATTTCATATATATGCGTATATATGTGCTTAAATGTTATTTACTGTCTATTCTTATGTACTCATTATCAAATGAGAAATTGCTTGTTATTATAGAGTCTTAAATGAAAATATTACTAATATGTATCGACGGCCTGAAAACGCTACGCGTTATTTGATATTTATATTCTTATTATTAATGTATGTACAATATTTATAAAATATTGCCGAGACGTAAGACTTTGTAAAAAATAATAATAAATATACTTACCCATAAGTACATTGCAGGTGCAAAATGTTAAAACAATAATTAAATAAATCCTTTTCATTCTTGTGAGTTAATTCGCACAGTGACGTTATACAGGTACTGTTCATGTTGCTACAAGAGATTGGGGGCTTATCTGATAAATATGATCAATGGTCGTATAATGACAGCATATTCAAGATATCGCTTTGCCGGACAATCGTTATCAGCATCAAAATATTACGCGATAATATGAAGGATAATTAATATGTCAGGTATTCATAAAAAATATTAGTCAATTAAATCACAATATCAAAAGTTTATTATAGAACAACAGCTAATCAATCTTTATAGTTTTTGGCAGATATAGCATTTTATCATGCACTAGCATAATCTCTATATTATGAGTTATATAGATATTTATAACAATATAAATTTTATATTTTATATAATTTCACAATATAAAAAATTTCAAGATATAAAAAACATATTTACGGAATAAATATAACTTTGTTTGTTATAAATAGAGAATCTCTCTGGCTCTTATTCTATAAGATTATTTACGAGCTAGAAGATCTTAAGTAGATCGTTATAAGTAAATTGTTCATTCAGTGATCTTTTTTGTTTATTTTATGAGATTGCACCTCGTTAAAACTCGTCATGCCTCGCTAACGCTTCGCCAAAGTCCGTCGCTTGTGACCCGACGAATATATCGTATTTTTCTAAAATTTCTTCCTTTGTGAGTTTGTGATCCGCGTCCGTGTCCGCTTCATAAATCAAGTGCCTAGACTCTGCCTCTGCGTGATCAAATTCCGCGGGGATAATCCACGTCTTTACCTATTTAAAATCAGAATTCGGATAATTTTATCATCACGAATTAATGATGTAAAGAAATAGTATTTTTTCAATTTTTTTCATATACATCTTTTTATAATAATTTTAAAATATGTAAATACTACCTCATCAGCATTTAAAAATCCATCCCCATCTTTATCTCTGTACAAAGAAAATTGTTCCTTCTCATTCTTCACCCATTCTGGCTCCTCTTCATCCTCGCTGCCTCTGTACATATCACCTGTTAACAAGTTGAAGATTTCAGTTTAAGGATTGCTTAAGCTAACTCTTTCAAGTGTAACAAAGAATATCTATTTACCAATATATTCTTTAAGAGATATCTTTCCATCTCCATCTTTATCAATGTCCTCCATTGTTTCTAACACTATCACGTCTTTCATGTGATCTGCGTGTTCAGCATGAAGGAAGGAAGTGAATTCCTCCTTGGTCAGAGCGTCGTCGCCGTCCAAATCCGCTGCGGACCATCTTCTGCGATCTCTTTTCAGCATTTCAACATATGAAAAGGACTCATCATTTGATTTATCCTGCTGCTCCTTCTCATATTCCTCTATATCACCATAAACCATTGCTGTATATTCTTGCCATTTTATTTTATCTTTATCATCTGGATTATGAGATCTCCATTGACGTTCCACATCATCCCTAATGTAGCGCTGTTGTGTATACATTATCCAATCCTTAAGTTCTTCTTGTGTCACATAGCCATCCTTATCGTTGTCTATTTTATCAACAATTATTCCTAGTCGTCTGGTGCTTTCTTCAGGAGTAAGCTGATCAAAAGTTTTAGCTTCTTCTCCGAGGAAAGCTTCATGGTCATAGGCTGAATTATGTTGTGAGTTGATATAATGTTCTTCATGACTTACATCCTAAAATATATGCAATACGCTTGATCAATTCTTTTGAAACTACAATTATTTCTTCATTTCTTACAACTTTAATAATTAAATATAATAATATTAAATATAATTAAAATATAATAAAAATATTAAATAATAATATTAAAATATAATATTAAAATTAAAATATAATAAATATTATATTAAAAAAATAATATTAAATTAATATTAAAATATAATATAAAAATGTATAAGTTTAAAATTGATAAATTCAGTTTTTTCTAACAACAAGAAACAAAATAATTAAAAATATTAACGGAATAAAATTAAGAATTAAATCAAATATATAATTCTCAATATTTATTATTATCCTCAATTTTTCTTCTAACCTTGTTTAAAATACGATGCTCCGCGTCCGGCTTCGGGATCGCCGTCGCCAGGATTGAGAAAGCGAAAAAGATTTGCAGGAACATGAGATGTAGCATTCCACGGAAATGTGTGAGAGAAAAAAGGGACCCTCGTCAGCTGCGAAAAACTCGGGCGCGAGGAATCTCCGAGTCTCTTTTTCCCCACCGTAACAGACGACGAGTCCTCTTCTTCCGCGACTCTTCGACTTCCACATCAGCAAGAATAACGAAACCAAACCGAACGCCGCACACACCCCCACCTCTTAATCTCGTGCGTTTGTGTGGGAAAACGTGCGATTCTTTCGGACGAGGAACGCTCGTTGGATGTTCGACGGCTATTCTCGAGAAACGAATCCGCAGCCTCCACGTGGATCCTACTGCGAGAGAGCTAGGAACTCTTGAAAGAGACATATATAGAACTCTTGCTGCGTGCAACTCCAACTTATGCTATTATATTTGTAACAGATATGTAAATATTAAAAAAATAGTAATTGAAAAATTTTATTATTTTTTTTTTAAATTTAATTTTTTTGCAAGATATTTGAGATACAGACAAATTAAATCAATTTTTAATAATTGAGAAATCGTTAAATTTTTGAAGTTTAACCTAATCCTTTGTACAATTTCTTTTTACTCAGATTTTTTATTTAAAACAACATTGTACAACAAAATAAAGCTTGTTTTCTATATTACAGTTCATATATATTAGGAGCTTTAAAATAATATTTTCAACATATATCAATAAAATTTTTATTTTATTATATAAATATTTTCTCACAGTCTACTATTTCTTTTAATAATAAAGTAACAGCATGAAAATGCTGAACACTGTCTTTACATAGACATGTAAATAAGAGGACAGCGATCCAAAATACTTCACTTTATGTACATTCAATTAATATACAAGAATTTGCTATACAAAAATTCAAAACAAGTAGTAAAAGCAGTATATCAATCAAAATTAACATAATAATTTAATTTCCAATTGCGCATTTGACTTTTCTACTGCATTTTGAAATAATTTGCATAATATTCTATGACTTTTCTATTGAAAAAGTTATCCACATATCAATTGTACAGATATCATACTTAGTAAATTTATAATGAAACAACATAAACAATCCTGATATTATCTATTTGTTATCTTTATATTTATAACGATGCTTCTAGTCTGGCAGCTCTTTTCTTTTTAGGAATTCCAGTCTTCCTGAATTCACTTCTTTCATTTAGATATTGTTCTGTACATTCTTTAATAAAGTCTTGATTATAATACCACTTTTCCATGCACGATTTCATTACATCATTTTCCTTCCTACACTTTATAACGTTTAACAATCCTGAATTGAGACAGCAGTCATGGAACTCTGTAGAGGAAAATATTATGTATATAGTTAATTCAAATATTCTATATATATAAACTCATATATATAAATATAAATATCTTATATATATAAACAATATAAATTAAATAATTACCTTTAACTTCTGCAACGCATTTCTCTGTTTTCGTTCTTTCTCGCATTAACTTTGGTATCAGCACATCCTTCTCCACTTTCCTCAAGCTCTTATCATTAGGATCGCCTGAAATAAATATGTAAAAGTTTTACTCCAGAGTTAAAAAAAAAAAAAAAATAGAATTACAATATTTAGAGAGCTGCTAAATAAACAAAACATGTATTAAAAAATGTCTAATTGTCCTAGATTTTATTATTAGCTTTTCATTAAATTATTGAGAATAAAAATATATAACCTATATTTTCGTACTTTCGTAATGCTTCAGTATCAGTAAGAAAAAATAAATTATATTAATTTTCTCGCAATATTTTATCATTCGCGAATAAAATAAAAATGTTACCCAATCCCTTCGGTCCCCCGGAAAGTTTAGGCGAAAGAATCGAATATTCTTCCTTCATTGTATATTTTGCATTACTTTTTTTTGTTGTATGTTGTATATTTTGGGGTATCAGCTGTCAGAGGGCGCAATAAGCGTTGGTTGGCCGAAATACGTGGGGGAGTTTGACATCTCTGTTCGTTCACCTCTCCTCTCCTCTTCACGCTTCTGAAGCTGAAGACAACCAACAGGCTGCGCTCGTGATTATGCACATTTGAAGCTTGTCAGAGTGACTCCGAGAGGAATGGTCATTCGGTTCGTTGCGACGAAAAGGGAATTCTCTCGTTGAAGACGAATCATCGTAAGAGCAACTTCTGTTCTAATATAAAATTGCGTAAATCGATACCAAAAAATCTCCGGGAGAGTCAAAATCGACGTAGCGTTCTTTTCTTAACCTCTAGAAAATCTCACACGACGCTTCGAATCTCTGATAAGCTTTTATATTATATTTTTCGAATATTCGCAGAGTTCAAGTGACACATCAAGATGGACAGACTGTTACGATTAGGCGGTGGAATGCCGGGTTTAAATCAAGGACCACCCCCTTCCGATGCGCCTGTTGTTGACACAGCTGAGCAGGTATCTGTATATAGATTTAAATATTCGTCCGTTTATCTTCTTTGAGATCGCTGACAGTTTGTTTCGTTTCCACAGGTATACATATCATCCTTGGCCCTCTTAAAAATGCTTAAGCACGGTCGTGCTGGAGTACCAATGGAAGTGATGGGTTTGATGCTGGGAGAATTTGTCGATGATTACACTGTTCGCGTTATTGATGTATTTGCTATGCCGCAAACAGGAACGGTAAATGTTAAAAATGCGTTTAAAAATGCATGAAATAGATTTTACGACACTGAGATATATTACATTATTTCAGGGTGTCAGTGTAGAGGCGGTGGATCCAGTGTTTCAAGCAAAGATGTTAGACATGCTGAAGCAGACTGGTCGGCCAGAAATGGTAGTGGGCTGGTATCATTCTCATCCTGGTTTTGGTTGCTGGCTGTCCGGAGTAGATATTAACACTCAACAGTCTTTCGAGGCTCTCAGTGAAAGAGCTGTAGCTGTTGTTATTGATCCTATACAATCGGTGAAGGGAAAGGTTGTCATTGATGCATTTAGATTAATCAATCCAAACATGATGGTGAGTATACTCGTATCGATTGTGTATGTCTTCTGATTGTGATCCCAAGTATTATGTTAATTGTAGGTCTTGGGACAAGAACCGAGGCAAACAACGTCGAATTTAGGCCATCTACAGAAACCCTCGGTACAAGCGCTGATACACGGATTAAATCGACATTATTACAGTATTAGTATTAATTATCGCAAAAACGAGTTGGAACAGAAAATGCTGCTGAATTTACATAAAAAGACATGGATGGACGGTCTGACCCTTGCCGAATATTCGGAACACAGTCGACTCAATGAGAATATTGTTTCAGAGATGCTTGAACTTGCAAAGAATTACAATAAGGTGAAACATTGACAATTTTAAAATTTTACAAGTTCTTATTTACATATGATACTAGATATTTTAAATTTCTGTTACTATAATGATTAAAATATTTTTATAGGCCTTGGAGGAAGAAGAAAAGATGACACCAGAACAATTAGCAATAAAGAATGTGGGCAAGCAAGATCCGAAAAGACATCTTGAGGAAAAAGTGGATACACTAATGGCTACAAATATTGTTCAGTGTTTGGGAGCTATGCTTGACACAGTTGTATTTAAATAATTGTTTTCGATACACCATTCGCAATATGATATTTAAAGGAAATATACATCTTTTTAAAATAAAAATGATACTTTTTTGATATTCATAACTAATGCAAACACTATGCGCTAGTTTTGTGTAAATCTTTATTGAAGATATATACTATCTTTATGAATCTATTTACTTGTTGAACTGAATTATACATATATATATATATTACAAATTGTAAATTATGATATGTAAATGGTAAATGTTTAATGAACCAAGGAATCATTCATACATCATAGATATATTAACAATGAGGTAATATACAGTGAATTAAAAAAAGCATTATTGAATTATACAGTGAAATAAGAGTTTATCAAATGTGACATTTATCATAACAGATATTTGGAATCTTGATTAATTATATGGAACATCTGAGATTTTTTCTAGAATCTATGATCTCACACTACCATATAATAATAATTTATATAATTTCCTGTGTTATAGAGAACATTCATTTTACTAAAAATATATATCAGTGATATACATAAAAATATATAATTCTTATCATGATAAAAAAATATTATATGAGTAGTACACTCTCTTAATTATTCTTATCAATCTTATTAGGATAAGAATTAGAAATTGTAATTTGAAATATTTTACATTGGAATCCATACATCTGAAAAAATGACATAAATGCAATAAGGCGTCAGCAAACGTAAAGAAAAAGTTAAATATAAAAAAATTGTTTGTTTTATACTCTTAAAATATTAATTAAATTGAGGAATTTTTGTACAACATATAAAATTGGGTTTTTAGGCTAGAGAATCTAACATATAAAGAAAAAGAAAATAATGTTGTATTTTATGTAACAATTAATTTTTTTTTGCATCAATTTTTGCATAAAAAATCCATCTAACTCGGTGTGGGTTCTCGGTTTTTATCCTTTTTCTTCTTCTTTTTCCTTTTTTCTTCCTTTACTGAAGACTCCTACAATATATATCATGTAATTATATATATCCAAAATTATATTTAAATACATACATAATTTTATAAATATACATATATTCAAAAATTTTCTGATATTCAAATTAAAACCATGATTTAATTACCCCACTAGCGCCTTCTTCCACTACCATAGATTCTTCACCTTCCGTGTTTTGCTTTTCCTTTTTTTTCTTTTTCTTGTCTTTTTTCTCTTTCTTTTTCTCTTTTGGTGATGATATTTCCGGCGATATTTCTTCTTGTCTTACAGAAACATTTGTTGTATCCATTGTTGTATCAATATTTGTATCATCTTCTCTTTTCCTTTTTCTAGAGCCAACATCACCATTCTTCTCCGTCTACATTTATTTAAATATTTTATAAATAATCAATATCTTATATAAATATATAAACATCTATTTACAGGAAAAACAAAATATTAGAAAATTAAAATAATTAAGACTTGCCTTAATTTCTACTGCTGGCGTTGCTTGTGCAGAATAGTACGTATAATTTTGTAACCAAGTAGCAGGTGTATTTTCATTTGGTTTCCCATGTTTATCCAAAGTTCCTTCATCAATCATACGCCTTTTTTGCAATGCTTTAGGACCCAAACCCCATTTTCTTGGATATGCATCTCTCTCCATGATTACCCTTTTGATTTTTGCAGCCACTCCATGATCACAAGAAGCCATAGTTGGAGAGGTCATCAAAGCTATGGCTAAATATGGAAATAAATATATAAATAAAATTGTTCCAAAATTGTTTAAAAATTATAAATAAGTTTTTTAAAACTAAATATAGAATAAACTTTGAATTTCACTTACAAGTTGAACAATAACGTAAGAAGTTAAATAATATACGACCCGTCGTTATTTTTATAATTATTTTAAAAATATACTTACCAAGTGCAACAGCTTCGCCTTTAGTAGTTACAATTACAATTTCTTGATTTAATTCTATCCCTTGGTCATACATTATAATGCCTGGCAGCATTATTTTTGCTCCATAACAAATTGCATTCACCTACAAATTTATAACATATCATTCAATAAATACGTATTAATAAATAAAATTAAACTTAAAAAAATCTAGTTTTATATCAATTAAGAAATGATCAAGAAATAAAATAAGAAATTAATTAAGAAATAAGTCGAATACGTACGGCGCTGTCCTTCAAAATAATTCTCTTGTGATTCATTAATAGCACTTCTAATGGTTTTATAACTCTCCTTAAATAAGATTCATCTCCATGATGTTCGTATAACCATTGAGCATCAAGAATGTCATGCATTGTAACCATGGCATCTTTTTCGGATTGAACACCCGAACGAATCCTTCGTAATTCTTGCATATTAGCACCAGTCCCTACATAGAGGCCAAGATGGACACACATGGTTCTAATGTATGAGCCAGCTTCGCAGCTAACACGAAATACTCCCATATTAGTTTCTTTGTTAAAATCGAGTAATTCATTCTCATATACTGTCCTAACGCGAAGCTGTCTTTTGACCGCCGCTATCAATGGTGGCCTTTGAAAGAGAGCGCCATGTAATTTTTCCAATGAGTGCTTTACCTAAATCATGTAACACATTAGTATATGATATCTTGTATGTAAGGTATCTTAGTAACATTCCAATGATTTACCTTCTGAATACTTTCTGGCGCAGAGTGGAGTTTAAAGACAGCAACATATTCCTTTCCAGCAGACTGTTGCGACTTGGCTAATCTAGTTGCTCTATCTATACAAACTATCAAACATCCTGATACTTTAGGATCCAATGTGCCCGAGTGACCAGTCTTATCCACTTTTAAAATCCTCTTTATCCAAGCTACCACCTCGTGCGATGATGGATTACATGGTTTGTCCAAGTTGATACATCCTGACTTTATGTACTCTGATAAACTACGATTGAGTGGAGTAGAACCACTCGTTAAGGGAGTAAAATGATTTGTACGTGTCAGCATTTTGTCAAAATTCTGCAATAAATAGACAAAAGTATACTTTCCTTATCTATTTCCTATTGTATCCCATGTAGTTATTATTAATGTCTAAAATAGATCTACACACAAAAAACAGATTACCAACCTTAAACAATAGAGGCCAATCCTTACATTCCAGCTTCACCTCCACCTTAGAGGGTTCTATCTCGCACTTCATCGTCCTTTGAATTTCGCCAAGCGATGCCTTGTTCTTCTTCTTCTTACTCTTATCTACAACAAAGGCGACAATAACCTAATCTATATCTTAATTTCTGTACAATTATATACAGTAAATTCCTTTTTTTTCGAATCAAATTCGCTAGAGCGAATTTCGTGCACAAAAGCTCTCCATGTGTCAGCATTTTGCAATATTTCTGACAATACTGTCATTTTAATTGACTATGAAATTAAGCAAGGACACGTGTACATCATCATATAAAATGGAAATCATAACAGAAACCATGCGGTCCGAGACGCCGCAGATGGTCACAATAATATAAGAAAGCATGAGCATTCAAAGTTGGATGTCGAAAGAAAAGATTTTGTGATACGCGTAAAAAATTATATTTATTACTTACCGTCTTCTGCCATTTTCAAGTTTTTAATTTACAACGCCTGTAAATTGCACACAACTTCGAACCTAAAAATACTCCGAATCACACCGTGCTGCTTCTTCTTCCCCTTTGAATAAAGTTGAATAGAAAGGCAATCGAACGATATATTTCTAGGTGTCCAAGGATTTATGAATACCACTCCATCTATACACACTTCCCTTTCGCAAACTAAAGTGACAACGAGAACTATCGAAATCTCGAAACAATAAACATGTCATATCGCGAAGTCGATCGAAAAATATTTTTGAATTATCTCGACAATATAAATGTATTTTCTGATTTTTATATCGAAACAAAAATTGTGCACACACACACATAGCTATCGAAATCTCATTTTCCTTTTATGTGTAATCTCTGATAAATTTCGATAAATAATCTTTGAATATTTATTACAATAAAACAATGTTAGTAGTCGTATATGTCATATGTCATTGATCAGCTGATAGTTACAGTGGTGTTTCAGTTGCAGTGGTCAGGCTATCAAATTTTTATGCATTATGCGTTTATACAAGATTAACAAGTGTATAAAGCATAACAAGTAAAAAAATTGGAGAGAATAAAGGAAAACAGGAGATAAAAATGCATCTGTGCTGGATTCACTGCCACAGAGGAGAAATAAAAAAAGTACATATATGTATATTCGTAACTATACAATCTGCTTTGCTCAGATAAATCAAGATACTAACAAATCATTATTTCTGACTAACAATAATCCAGTCATTAATTTACCATGGGTGAACGAAACGTCAAAACGTTAATTTTTCCCCTTTCGATGCTTCGGTTTCGTCCAGAAGCGGAGGCTTTATCGATTGCACAGACTAACGAAATGAAATATTCTCGTGAAATTTTTGCACGATCCGACTGCTATCATGGAAGCTTATTAATACAGATGTTGGGAGCAGGCAAAGTTATTTTGGGCGTGTAACTGTTAACCTCAGAAATGCACACCTAGATCCTGCTGATTTTAACATTGACACATCTCACTCATAACTCTGACATTCTGGGAATATTCTTTAACTAATCTTGTTTAAACATGGATCCAGATTCCATAGAGATGGCAAACGAAATCAAGAGCAAAGTCATACTACACTGGAACTGTCGAGGTCTTGTGGAATTTCCAGAAGTAATAAGATCGCACGGTAGTCACATTCAAGAGATATATCTTAAATGGAACAAGCTCACTACTCTGCCACCCTGGATCATAGAACTGTTTAATGTAACCAACTTGTACATGTATGGCAATCTGATCGAACAATTGCCCAAGGAACTCGGTCAGATGAGTCAGTTGACAGTGTTGGATCTAAGTGCTAATAAACTGGAACAGATACCTTCCTGTATCGGTAATCTGAGGAATCTAAAGTCCTTATTCTTAAATGACAACTTCATAGAAAGATTACCAATTGGTAAGTTTTATTACTAGCTATATGTTCTATCATGAGAATAAAGAATTTATTAATTTTTCTGATGAACAAAAACAGAATTGAGCAACCTCAGTAATCTGGAAATACTATCTATCTCGGGCAATCAGATTGTTGCACTACCAGAATGGACTGGCTCTTTACCAAAACTTAAAGAATTGTATATAGATAACAATAAGTTGAGAGAACTACCTAACAGATTGACTATAGCTCCTGAACTTGCTATGATCTCTGTGTGTTCAAACAGGTTGTTATTATTTATATTAATATTTTATAAAAACTATAAGAAAGTTGCAGTCTATCAGCAATTAATTTATATTTTTTAATTTTGTACAACGAATGTTTATTGTAGGTTAAGATATTTACCATTGAATGGATTTTTATCAGCTCCCTGTATCCGATTTGATGCAAATGAATACTTAAATTATGTGTCTTATCCTCTTCTACTTCAACTACTTTCGCAACTTCGGACGACGGTTGTACACGACAGAGGCAGTTTGGCATTTGGGTGAGCTCTTTAGAGATGTTAATAATCAGGATATGTACTTATCAATGTAACTAAAAGATAAATTCTGAGCAGTTATTATTTATTACATATACAAAGTAAATTTGTAAATAATCTATATACATATGTAATCACAGGTGTTTTAAAACACATTATGACACTACTGTGTTAAATACAAATATGAAATTGTACATAGAGATGAAGGGTTTGTATGAAATGAACGCCGACATTATAATTGAATTACCACGGCAGCTCTTAAAAATTCACGAAGTTCAGGAAAACACAATCTGTTCCCTATGGGAATTAGCACTGCGAAGAATTTATATCGAGAGGTAATTCAGAAGATGCCTTATGTAAAAATATCAGGAATATTTTCATTTATCGATAGAATATAAATATCTTATAATTCAACACATTTTTAGTTACAAACACACCCTCAATGTGTTCACTTCTCCTCCAAATGTAACAATAATCTACGAATCTCTTCTCAAGAATACTAAATTGGACTTTACATTATCTTCTACAAATTATACTTTATACAGTTTATTAATGAATGGACCTGCCAGTATCTGTATAAATACACAGTGTCAGCAACCTATATTTACAGAAGCGTGGATCATTATCGGTATCAGCCGTTACGCAGAGTCCATGATAATGATAGCTTTATGTTGTAGCAAAAGGTAACGTATAAAATAATTGTATAGTACCTGAGTATATATCAGTTCTCATAAGTCTTCTTTAACTTTGCAGTTGCGCCACTACATTTGCTACACATTCAAATATGACTATTAAGCTTCATTGGCACTCGATCAATTGATGAATTGATTCTCCTCATTTAGATATTGATAGGTACTTAATTAATGCACATTTGTATGTAAAAGATATTAGCGAAATAAAAAATTTCTTTTTTGTTGAAATGTGAAAGAATCCTGTGATAATAGTCTGTAAATTAAATTTCTAGAGCTTGCTATACAATAATAATTTATTCTGCAGCAGTTAATTGTTAAACTGATGAATATTCTGTTTGATAATGCCCAGTAAGAATTCAGATTCTTATATCATAATAGATTAAAATTAAATTATTATAATATCATATATGGTTGAATATAGCTTTCTCTAGATATTATCAAGACTAGAGTAAATAGTATTTTTTTTTTATCAATATATAAAATATACCTTATAATTTTGAGATGCGACGTATCTTCCATGTAATATATAAAAAGTTAAATTTCTTTTTTTTAGATTTCATTTGTTTTCACATAAAATTAAATCGCGGAAAATTTTTTCTTCTTTATATATAGTCCATAGATGTTGATTTGATGATTTACTCAAGCGATCAGAAGATCTAACGCTTTGTCGCGATCAAAATTACACTTCACTAACGCCGCGGAGACTGCATCTTCATGAAATCCTAAATCTTTCAATGTACATAAATTTTCATAGTACATTCTTGCTTTTGATTGATCGTGTTGCGTGAGTGTCAGTGCTTTCTCGGCGTAATCATTCGGGACGCCGTTTTCCTCTAGAGACTGGACGGCCAATAGATATTCTACGATTTTCTTCTCGTGTATACGACCTAATTCCAACACCGCGCGTGCCGCTCTACACTTAGGAAATCCCATGTCACTTAACTGCATCACCAACTTTAAATCGTCCTCTGTCATACTCGACAACAAATCAGTTGGTGATTTGGCGTGATTCGACATCGCATCATCATGTCTCGGAGTTGTACATTCGTCACTATCCGGACTCTCCAAATCGGGCCACGGTTTCCAATTCTGTTGCAAAAATATAACAATTATAAAATCAGTTATAAACTATAATTTAAAAAAAAAATAAGATTTATTACCTCCATAACAGGTCGTTCTAATTCCTTTTGAAGTTCCTGCATTATTGCTGAAATGCTACGATGATTTTCAATATCAGCTAGTTCATCTTCATCGGCTTGACTGTCCACTGGAGTCTTTACATTATCGACTTTCTCTTCCTTGGAAATTTCTGAAGTGTCATCGATCGATAATTCATTTATAATATTCTCCAATTTTCCTGCTGGTACCCATTGTGATCTAGGTTGTAAAACCTGCATAAAAAATATCAAGTTTGAGACAATCATCAAATTTATCTATACCATTTGAATTATATATGAAAAATAAACTTTGTAGAGTGATTATTTAGTCTCTCACCTGTGCCAATTCCTCCATATCGTTAATAGTTTTTAATTCCATGTTGTCAAAGGGACTGCTTGTGTCATTATCAAAGTCAGCAAAGTCTAGACCTCCATTGGTCTTTGCATGAAGGTCCTGAAGATCATTCGCTGGAGGTGACAAAGGTTGTGGTGTAAGTATTGTCGTCTCCGGAGCAGGTGCCGCATTGATAGGCAATTGTTTCACGCAGTCCAGTGGCGGTGACGGAGGAGTTTCCTCTTTCTCTTTTTTCCTCTTTTCCTTCAATCGAGCTTGAAGAGCTTTGCTGTAGGCCTGTCTGGCTTTGCGCCATTCGCACATCTGGACACAAATTAATTTATCAGCTCAAGGATAATTTAAAGAACAAAACGAGTTGTAAAATAACTTCTCCACGTGGTATACGGAATGTCAAAATATTATGACGTTTGACGTAATGATTACACCTCACCTTTTCGAGTACCGATTTCTCCAAACTGAAGTCGTACGTCAGCTTCGACACGTCAGGCAAACGGTTGTTGTAAGCTGCTGGGAGACCGATTTTCCTCGGCGGTTTGTAGGCCTCCGCGATTTTGACATGAACGCCGTCCATATAAGACGCGACTAGATCGCATTGTGCCGAAAATCGAGCCATATCTTTCGGATCCGTGGAGGAAAAATGTGAGAAAAATTCTCGTTTTATTCACTATCCTCGGGACATAACCTCTCACTTACATCGCAAGAAATCTCATTCGATCGCGTTACAGGTCGCATATCGCTGATGCATCACGCGTGCAATTTGCAATTCAATTGAACATCATACTTTCTCTCTCTCTTTCGCGGCTTGAGACTCGAGATATCTCTTTAATATCTGAAACGCCAAAAATACACTGTTATTTGACAGATCGAAATAGCCTGGCTGTCACCATTAGCCGCCATATTGCTATTTAGCGAAGATTTGAACCACAATCGAACCTCGATTTATCATAGGGTTCGAATCTTTGCTAAATAAAAATTTTACTTTTTACATTATATTATAATGTCAACAATCTTTTTAATAAAATTGTGAAGAAAATAATTATTATATTATATTAATAAATGATTTGATTTAATTTTATTTTGTACATTTTGTATATTGTCAACAATTTGTGTTAAATATCTTATTGTCAATCACATTTATACTTTCACTTGTAAATATTTAAAAATACATACTTCTGCAATTTGTTTTTAATTTAATATTAATACTGAAATAGTATTAATATCATACAAGAGGCGTATCTGCAAATATATGTAATATTTTTGTACTATAAATATATCACTATTTGCATCGTACAGTAATAAAGTAAAAATATATAGCTTTTTTACTTTCAAGTATCATATAAATTGTCCTAGAGTATGTACAAATAAATTAGTCTAAAAACATGTCAATTTCCTAAAACTTTCATCGTAGTAGAGAAATTTGCACAGAGCCGGTTCTTCCAGTAGATTGTGCTTTATTCTCCAATACAATCTTGGGAGGAACATTGTTATAATTCAGATCCTTCTCCTTTCTCTTGAGCGCAGAAGCTTTCATATATGCAAGGAAACAAGTCCATATCAAACTGCATACGCTGACGTACACAACGCGATTTCGCTCTGGGATCAGGAAGAAGTTGATGGTTTGTAGAATTGGCCATACACAAACACCAACCTAGAAGGCAAATAATCTTTTATTAATCTCCTTAATCTCATGATTAAGAACTTATCTGTATTGCGAGAAATGGTACCTTGTATGTTGGCCAGAATTTAATTTTGACCTCCTCAATGCATTCCGAAACTGGCTTTAATTCAAGAAAACTCATGCCAAAGAAGAAGGAACACATAGCTGCAGGCGTGTACGTAACTTGCTCAACCAAAGCCTGTAATTATTACATTATTAATTAATTGTTATCTCAAATTATTAATACTATTTTTCTTTTGGTACATAATATAAATAAATGCAGAAAAATTTAATTGTATACAAAATAATATTATAATTAATTCCTTTACACATGTATACCTTAGTGATCGCAGACTTTAAATCTCCTTTGGGCCAAAGATAAGATGCACATTTCAACCAGCAGTACAATGTAGGTGCTACGTAAAGACTGCCGTACAAACTAAATCGTCCAGCTTCCGCGTAATTAAATTCCTCCTTGCCTATTATTTTCTGTTGCAACAGGTTCGCAGTTGGCCATATAACTGAGTAGGATGCCATGCCTCGAATAATCGGATATTTCTGCGAGATCTCGCGAAATTTTACGAATATTATGCGCATGTTCCTGTTTATAAAAATAGAAATTATCGAATTATTTAAACTATATATTCGAAAAAAAAGAATCTAGATTTAGAATAGCGCGCCAAAAAATGATCGAGATCAGTCGATCAGCGGAATAACACATCTATATAAAAAAAAACTATCAATTGAAGACTTTGATCGCATTTTTAAAAATAATCTGTATTTTAAACAATATAACTTATTTTTAATTATTAATATTTATATATCTCAATAAATAATAATTTATTTTTTTTAATCCCTCTATATCTGGTTTCGCAATTTTGCGGATTTATTACGTCATAGATGTATATAGACTTATTAACGAGAATAAGTTACCTGCCGCAGCGTTATCGAGAACAAAGAAGGAATGCTCCTTGGAGAACGCGCTTGCTGCAACTTTGACAGCTCGTAGCTTGTTGACGTGATGCGGTGCGTCGATGTGTGTGTATGTCGATGTCGGCCGCGATACGGATCGACGCACCTGGTGCGCGTATTGTCTCGTGACGCGACGCCGACGACTGACAGTCTCCTCCGTTGACGGAACACGCGACCATATCGTCGACGACGATGACGAAATTGGATCGGATCCATTCTTATCTGTCCTTGGTACATGTCGTGGCGACATGCGGCTTTTTCCGCTGATGAATCGATCGCGTTGCGAAATCTGCCATCTCTTATTACGCGTCTTCCTGATAACTCGAAAGACGTCGCTAATATTGTACATAGTCGCGACTATTTATAAATTTTGATTGCACCGAGGCATTATAGTTTTTATCTAGAATCGATAAGACATTTAATTAAATAAATGATGAGAAAGAAACGATATAATTTCCTGTACAGTCGTATATTCAAATATATTAAGTATAATATCAAACATGAGACATACGAGCTATCCTAAGAAATACAATTGATTTAATGATCCCTTGTGTGTAATGTGATTAAAGGAAGATACTGTACATAAATATAAGTAAATACATGCCAGCAGTATATATATAATATAAATAAAATTATATATATAAAACTGTTAAAATATTTAAAAAATGCAGAATTTGCATAATTATACATAATGTACATTTATATATTTATTTCTATATTGTAGTACTCGCACAGAGTATCTCAAAGGATACGTGCATTTTTAGCAAAATTTAACATTTGGAAAAAGCTTACTTTATGATATAAGTAAACATGTTCTCTCTGATCATATAATCATGTGATTTTTCATGTAAAATAATTATCACTATAAACAATTATATTTTTAGACATTAATGTTCACAAAGCAAGCTTGCGTGATAATCCAACTTAAAATTACTATTAAAAGGATGATATACATCTGGTATGTATAAAAAGACATTTTTAAAACTTACATTACTCTCAACACTGTACAAAATAAACAGTGGTCAAAACAGATTGTACTAAGATACCTTTACAATGTGTCACATTAGTTTCTCATATTTTTAATAATAAAAAAATACTGTATACTCTCAATGATTACGTGATTCATTAACTTCTCTAAAACTATATGCACAAATTCTTAACAATTTTTTCAAGTTTTCCATTATTTTGCATGGTGTTGGCACAGTCCAGTTTGTAAACAAAAATTACACCAACCCAACTCATTATGTCGTAATATCGAATAAATCACAAACACCTTCGTTCTCACTAAGATTGAAGTGGTAATCTTTCTCTCCTGGGGGTGGACTTAATCTCACCAATGGTCCACAAACTGCAAATAAAATTTAGATGCATAAGATAAATATATAATACTCATTATATTATATACAAGAAATAATAAAACTTTTATTTTACTTACAATCAGAATAAAATTGATCAAGTAACTCCAAATTTGTTTGTAAGATATCTGGAATAAAATATTTATTATATTTTAAAAAATAAATTTTTACATTGTAAAAGATGCACTTCCAATAAATAATAATTTTTGAATTTAAATCAAGAAATAAATTTACCTGCAGTGCTCACATCACGCAGAACTATCTTGGCTTCTATCAATTCTTGATCTTCTTCATCCTCGTCGTCAGTTAATACTGGACTCTGTGGTTTGATAGTACTTTTTGGCGGTCTGTTAAAATAAAGTGTTCAATATGTGTGCAATTCAATTTGTATGCAATCCTAGTCTTGAGAGATAAATGTGTTATATGTATAAATGTACATTTTGTATCAAATGAATAGCTCAAGCTTGGTAACTATTCACCCCCAATACAAAATCAATTTGCGCAGTTATACTATTTGCTCTGCGCAGATCAAGAATATTGTTTTACTATTCCTGACACGATTAGAGCATATATAAAGATGCATTTGCGAATACAAATTTCTATTTACCTGCCAACTTTCCTCTTTGGTTTAACAGTGACATCTTCCTCTTTTTTTTCGTCCTCTTCATTTCCACGTTTCGTACCTTTTGATTCTTCTTTTAACCTCATTTCTAACACTTTGTTATCATAAGTTTCAGCTAGTTCGGGTTGAACCATGTACACTTTAATTTCTCCCAAATTACTCTTCAAGAACATGGTGTAATTTATCTCTGCATTGTCTTGTATGATAGTCTGTCAAATAAATGTGAAAAGATAAAAAACATGAGACATTTTGATATACGCTAAATGTTAAATATTTTTCAGATTGTTTAAAATACATATTTCAATACCTTCAAAAAGTTTGGTACCGATATTTCAGTGTCTGGAGGACCTTGAATTCCTAGTACAAATTGATCTAGAAAATTTTCCTTGACATCCTCATAAGTAATGTATGCATATTTCCTATTTATCATATCATTTTCTATATTTTTTATACTCTGCTGGATCCACTGAGTATGAGTGTCCAGAAGCTGTTCGTGATCCTCCAATTTCCTTATCTCCTCCTTCAGATCTGTCAGCTTCTCACCAACCTCTTGAGTATTACAGCCAGGTCCTGCACCCCTTCGATCACAAATTTGCAAGGTTTAGCGATGCATATTGCAAGAAAGTGAAATATGACAATAGGAAAAGAAAGTGAAGTGAAATTCTTGGAAAATAATGGCAAGTAAACAAACTTACTTCCATTGTATGCTGTTCTTGCTCTTCTTCTCTATAAGACCGATACCCTCAAGGACGTTTGTGATGTCGTAGATGCGTCGTTTCTGTCGTACCTCTAGGAGATCCGCAGCCTGAAACGTAGGTGATACCTTATCGGTTAAGTATCGAGGACTAGGTTAGGACGAGAATGCATGTTGGATGGTGAAATTTCGCGATAACGCGTTGCGGAAAACTCGGCGCCGAGTCTCGCGAGGAAGAAAGAAAATTCTGACGCGATCGAGGATCGACCGCTCGAGCTGACGAGCGAGGTTCCTCCTCGCCACGCACTTCTTTCAAAATTCCCGCAACCCAGAATATGGCGTGTATATTCGCCCGCGATAGCTTAACCTAGCATTCAGGTTAACTCTCCCTCGGCGATTAGACGAAGATAAATACTCACGACTTTCAAATCAAGCACGCCATCCTTGGCTTTCTGCAGCAAGGTGACGAAGCGGGTGGTCAGCAATCCGAGAGACTTCTCGAAACGGCTCTGCTGATTATCTGCCATTATCTCGCTCGTTGTCAAAAATTTCAAAACTTGCTAGTCTCTTCGAAATTGCCGCAACACCACGGACGCCATCCCAGTTAACGTGCAACGGCTATTCAAATATGAGCGCGCCTCTGTCGGTAATCAATTTCCGCAGAAGTGAATAACAAAATGAAAAAACTATTAAAAAAAATTATATAATTAAAATTATATTAAACATTTTTTTCAAATATATATGTTTATTAAAAATTATATATATTAAAAAAAATATATTTTCAATATTTAAAATTTCTGATAAAAATTATGCAGATACGTGAAAAATATATTCGAAATTTATTTCGATCATTCATTCGGAGAATTTACATATTCCTAATTAATTCTAAAGATTTTATTTTACGAATTATATATCTAGAGGAAAAAAAATTAAAAAATTACTTTGCTGTACTATCATTATTTTTCTTCAATATATATTTATAGCATGTATAAGTAGAACTAATTTTTTATGTATAAAAATTCTATAAAAATTTCTCAAATATTCTTACATTTAATAATTTTTATATATTATATGTATATTCACAATGATATCTATAAATAATATATATGTATAAATTAAGAATTCTTCTTATATTATACACTTGTACATTCTACTTATATACACTTTACATTTTTTTTGTAATGTTTTAAATTTTAAATGTATAAAAGTTATAAGGCATAAACAGTAATAATAGTATTAAAAAAGTTAAAAATATATACATGCTCCAAATAAACCTTAGGGCAAAAGAAATTCATTGGTGCCAGTCGGCTCTGGACTTTGACTGGAACTAGCAGAACTAAGAGTCTCATCTTTAATCTTTAAAGCGGATGAATCTTTGTCCTTTTTATTATCCTTCTCTTTGTCTTTGGCCTTATCTTTTTCCTTCTTCTCCTTCTCTTTATTATGTTTATGATCATGTTTATGCTTATGCTTATGTTTGTGTTTTTTCTTATCCTTTTTCTTCTTTTTACTCTGTAAAAAGCACAGTGATACATTACAAACCTCGAGTATTTTTCCTGACATATTAAGAATACACATATAGCTTATAAAGATATCTTTTATCACACAAAAAGTTTACATACCTTATTGACAGAGTCACTTTTTGGTTTATGCTCTTCCGAATCCTTTTTAAACATCCCTGGTTCAAAACCTACTGGACCAGGAGTTCCCATGATACCAGGCAATGATGCAGAATTATCGCTATAGTACTCGGATTTGACTTTTCCTTCACCAGGTACAGGAATTCCCCGTTCATCCTGCTGTAAATAGTAAAAATAGATTTAATTTATGTCGACAATGACAAAAGAAAAGGAAATAAAATAATTTCTTATACATTGTTTGCCATTGTCTTCTGTCGTTTTACTTCTATCCCATGCTCTGCAGGATTTGGCGGACCAGCAGGATCTCTATTTGGGGAAGCTTTTCTTTTGTTTGTCGGAATAGGCAAATTCTCAACTTCATCAATTGATTCGTGTCTCACATGTTGCACTGGTACAGTTTTCACCTATAAAGCAGAAATAAAAATTATAATAAAGGAAATAATTATATATAATTATAATTATACATAAATTATGTATAATTATATATAATTTTACAATTATATAATAGTAAAATACAGAATGTGTTGAATATCTTACCTCACGTTCAGGACTTGGTGGGCCGGCTTTTCTAGGTTTCATAATCGTCGCGAGTTCGGGAATGGGAAGACAAAACGGAACTTTTGTACCGTACAAAGTATAATACAAATCCACTAAATCGCAACGTAATTTTGCGTCGTGCGATAACATGCCGCTATATAACAAAATGATATGTTGATTAATCAATTGATACATGAAAAGTGATTTACACATGAAAGATTGAAGTATTGCCATACTTAATCAAGTTCCATATACGATCAACTAAATCTGGTCTATCCAAACGGTGTTTGTGAGCTCTTTCGAACGGTGGATTTTCTACCATTAAGCGTACAAGTCTGTGACGTACTCCAGGATGCGGGTCCAATTCTGTCATGTCCAATAGGAATTCCAAATCTTCCCACTTACCATCCACGCGAGTAAAATCGACCAAAGCTTCTAATGCTGCCATTCGAACGTCTGAAAAATTTATATATTAATTATTATATTCATTAATTGTCGAAAATTATGGCAATTAAAAAAAGAGATCACACACACACACACACACACACACACACACACACACACACACACACACAATATAATTATTAAAGAAATATTGTGAAATATTACCTATAAATTGTCCATATGCTGCATATGCTCTAAAAATATGAGGATTGCTTGGAAGATGCCCAAACTTTTGTAGAATACGAATGACTTTCAGACAAGCTACACTGACAGTATATTTGTAGCAGGGTAATAATTTTTCTAAATTTAAGTTTCTTGTGACCTCTTCTAAGATGGCTTTTGTGTCGATTGACAAAGACTCTGCTGTGATAGCCGTTCTGTAATAACAGAATAGAAAAATGTATTTAATAGAATAATGACTTAGTTAGTTTTATATAATTTTGTAGAACTATTGTTTAATATAACTGATTCGATTCTAAACAGTCATCCCATATATTTCTCATTAAAAGATCTTGTAAGAATATTTACAGCATAAAACTAACTTCAAAATTATAAACATATACATGCATTCTTAATAATATACGATAATTGGATTTATCTAGTATATATAACTAAAAATTCTATTTTCGACATACCCCTGTTGCACACTGATAACTGGTGTAACAGTTGCGCCTAAAGCCTCTATTAATGCAGCTCTGTAGTAATTATCGGAATATCTATTCTTGCTGTTGTCATTATACTTGAAGAGATCCATTAAAAAAGCTAGAACTTCTGGTGGACAAATACCATGAGCGTTGCGTAATCCTGCCATTGCGACCGGTATAGTCTGTGCATAGATTCAAAGTTTGAAAGAAAATTTTATAAGTATAATATACAATATATATATGATACACACACATAATTCTGATACATAAGTAATGAAATGTATATTAACCTTTTGAAGAAAATAATGTTGAAAATTCGAAAAATTGTTCTGTTTAATAATTCGTCGACACGACGCTGATCCGAATAATTTTCTAAATATGGCCAACATTGCTGGTGGGCCTGCCCATGTTGCTACCATAGCATTGGCTACCTGTATATAAACATATATGTATGTAAATAAATAAATATATATATATATGTAAAATTGTATTAAACAAGTAAATATTTAATAATGACTGACTTTTGTCAAACAATGAGCAGCACGAAGTCTAACTTTATAATAACAATGTTCGTTTTCAATTGTATCGGTCAATGCTAATCGTGTGGCAGGTGTTGAGTGATGTTGCAAAGCTACAATTGCTTCCAACTGTGCAGTAACGTCTCTTTCGTGTCTCAATTGATATTGCCATTGATAATCTGGTTGTTCAATCTGCACAGCGCGCATGATTGTCATTTCAGGATCAAGTCTGATCCATAATACTGGGGAGTCACTGTAAATAGGCAATGAATTCTTTTAAAAAATATTGCGCAAAGATAACGCGACTTTCATGTAATGTCTCTTTATAATAATAGATCTGTATAAAATCATGATCTTACTCCATAGCAGAGAGATCCATATCAACCTCTTCACCAGTACACAATGGAATCTTCTTTTTCTTATTTCTACGGCTTTTACTGTGGCATGTGATATCCGCTCTCGCCATTGTACCTTCAATTTGCAAAGTGTGCTTAAAGGTACCATCAAGTTCTTGAATATTGACTACTAATGGACCCACATATTTCCTGATTCCTCTTTGATGCGCAGTGTCTTGTCTAATTTCCAATTCCACTGTATTTCTATATATATACATGTCATATTTTAATATACATAAATAGATAGTATATGCACTTAAATTTAAGTAGAAGAGCACCTTTTCCTATTAAATACAAAACTTAAGCTGAATTTTGCGTGTCCTCCTGTTCTGACCCATTGATCTATGAATACTGACATATCTTTTCCTGTCACTGTGAAGATTGCCTTAGCAAATACATTTGTACTAATTAACATGTGTGACCACAAGTTAGATTCAATCTTTTGTTGCGCGGCATTGGCTGCCAGAGACAATTGTTTATTAAATACCTATAAAAATAAGATATGATAATCGATTCAATCTATTATTATATATTTATTATGTATTATACAAAGAAAATAATATTTACTTGAAGTAATAATTCTTGTCCGATTCTATGTTCTAGCATTCTCATAATCAGATGTGCCTTCTTGCCGAGAACTTCAATGTATCTAGGAGACATTGTATGTAAATTTTTAATCGGAAAATAAAATCCGGGATCAGGAGCTCGAGGAGCAGGTGCTGGAGTATTGGCTGCAATGGGCAACGGTGCTGGTGCTTGAGATGGATCCAGTATTATGCCACCAAATTGTTCTTCATATTTCACGACTTCTTGCAACTCCTACAAAGTTTAGCAAAACGAGGGTAACAAATATGTCAAAAAGAATAAAATATATCGATATTGTGACTTGTAAATACTTACAGATTGAATCCATTCTCTGTATTCATTGTTTCCAAAGCATTTCTTGGCATATAATCCCGTTAGATATGTAGAGATACCTTTAGGCAGCCAAGTGTCTGACCAATTGTGCATAGATATGAAACATCCGAAAAATTGTTCTGCAACTGCTTGTGCCATTGCTTTTTTAGTAATATATACTTGATCTATAATTGCAGTAGAATGTAACAAATTCGTGCTGCAAGAAGACAAATCATTATAAAAAACTGTAGTAATAAATCTTAATTAATATTAAACATACAAAAAATGTATATTATTATATATAAAGAAGAGATTAATTTTACTTTAAAATGCTCATAGTAGCATAAGCATTGATGTCTTCATCTATTTCGTCAACAAAGACTTGCTTGTAACAAGAATATGGATATCTATTTGACAAAGTTTCTTCATAAAATTCAAATGCTTCGTGCATATATTTCGCCGACACTTTTAAAGATGGCAAAAGTTGAGGTAAACAGAAATGAGTCACTTCATGCATGTAAGGATCCACAAAGATCTCAAAAGGCCTAGAGCAAAAATTCAAATTATTGTATTGTAAATTACATATGCTTTTCTAAATGATTTCTATTTATTTACCCGACTGCCAGTGCAATGTTTGGTGCACATGCAGGAGTATTTAGAGCATAGTGAAACGTTTTTCTACGCATATCAGGCGTATAGACAACCTCGACTAGATCTCCACAAGAAACAGCAATCATCGAGTCGTCGACAGTAAATTCTAATCTCCAAGTGCATGGTTCAGCAAAGCTATCCACACACGGGAACCATAATCTAGATGAATTTTCATAACTGTACGTATACATATGGGCGCCTCTCTAAAAAAAAATTATTGATGTAAAATAAAAAGAATTAATTTAATGGAGACTTTTTTCTAATGGAGACTAATAAAATTTACCTCAGCTAGGGTTCCTTCACAATTTGGTACTACAAAATGTACACCTCCTTGTGGCTGTTCCAAGGAAAATTCAATGCTAATCCTTAATCCTCGACTTTCTGCGACTAAGTGTGTTGCATCTGGTGGTATTTGAACTACCAATTCCCCAGCATTGTTATCAGGATCCACCTTTTGAGCCGCTGCTAGATGCATATTTGAAAAAAAATCCAGGGAACGTCTACAAAGATTTTATATATTTTGTAGATCAATAATATTATAATAGAAAGTTATGAAAAAAGAAATTACTCACTGTTTACTGTCCCCTTGGCAAATATCCAGAAATGGATCAAAATATTGAAAAGGGGCCTCGTAAGTATCATTTAAACAAACTCTATATATCCTGCATTGTCTGGCATTGAGTTTTACCAGTCTTAATGTGTCTCGCAGTGGAATAATTGTCAATTCGACAAATCCAATTATGCTTTTCCTTTGAAAACTTATGCCCGTCAAACTCACTATCTGATGGGCTGTAAAGTTTCAATCAATAATTATTTCAAGAGTCATACTAATGTATAAATATAATTAGTAATACAATTTTTCTAAAAAAAAACATGATTTATATTCGTTTATTTATAACATAACCTATGCATTTTGTATCTTCTATTAAATATTCATAATTAACGACATACGAAAAATAAATTAAATTTCAGTGAATATTAGAAATTTTTTCGAAATACAAATAAAATTAGAAAAAAACAACTGAGCATTTAAACATTTTAAATATTTTTCGCCAGTGTCATTTCCAAAGATACTTATAATTTAAATGGACGACTGGCGTCGCCCGATTTATCTTTCTTCATTTTTTCAGTTATACACAATCCTTGTATTCATAAAAAATTAGAACAAAACAACGAATGCGAAATTGTTTCAAGCATATTCCAAGCCACTCGGCATCACTTGCACTAATTCACGCGCTTGAATCAGCTCGATCAGCTTGTAGACTGATGAATGGATGTGGGGAAAAAATCTCATAACCATAGCATATGTAAAAACACAGATAGACACATGTCACGCGATTGGTTGTCAAATAAAGAATTTTTGACGTTCCGCAAATTTTTCTATTTTCCAGCCAATCGCGTGACATTATATTTATTTGTACTTCCTGTTAATCAGTTTGTGTGAAAAGGCCACTTCCGGTATTTTCAGATTCGAGACGTGTCCCATCTAGATATTCGTATATCATGATCGTGATTGTTAACCAGCTCTGAAACTCCTCTGAAACTACTCCGAAGTATTGTCAATCCTTTGCTCAGTTCAGGAAAGGCTCCGTTTATGTATTTTTATATACGCTATAGTTTACTCTGAGAAGAACCGTGCTTTGTTTGTCCTTTATCGTATACATATTTTGTTCGACAATGAAAGATTGTGGAAGATGTACATTTTGCATGAAAAAAATTTGATATGTTTTGATAAGAGATTTAAAGGACTCCCTGACGAGAATTTTGACATTCTTTGGAAAGAATATTTTGCAAGATTTTTAAACATCTGAAATGGAGGACAAGGGACAAACAGATAATACGTAAGTTTGAAAGAAAATGGAATATTCTGTGTAAATTTTACATTTTTTTTTTTTTTTTGAGAGAGAGAACTAAAAATTGTTTTAGAAAGATTAGATAGAAGTTTAATAATTTTATCTTTTAGAACCTCTGTGGATTGTTTAGACAATACAACTGTATCTGTGACAGCTAATTTAGAAATGCTTACTATAGACTCTTCGTCAACAGAACCAACCAAAAAGATTCTTAGAAGAAGATTACCCAAATCTGTTTCTACAGATTGTGTTCTTAACAGAAGGTAGTAGAAAGTTATTTAATATTAAACTATGATATGTATGTTTATTTTTATATTTAGTAGCATTTTATATATTCATCTGTCAGATGTAGCCGCAAACCAAAAAGAGGAGGAATTCAGAGATAGGTACAGAGGAAGAAAACATAAAGGAGTATTATTTAGATAAAAAGATAACTAAGAGAATTAATCTTGAAACAATATATGAAGAGAGTGACAATGCGAGCGATGATAGTGTAGTACATATGAGTGCAAAGAAGTTTAAAAGAATGTTACTGTTTTCTACAACAGCTTCCAAATTAAAGAAGAGACGTGCAAAAATACAAAGAGTTTTTGGGTCTAAGATTAGGTTTAAGAGATATAAGAAGTTTGATTCAATGCAGACTCTTGAAGATAAGTTAAATGCTCTCAAAGAAAGTTCACCAACAAAAATTGATAGAGAAGTCAAATGATAGCAAGTTCCTCTTGTGTTTGAATGCTAATAATTGAATCTCTTCAGGTCCAGAAGATAGTATGTTTTATTTTAGGATTTTATAAGTTCTGTATTTGCATAAATCTATAAAAATATTGCATAAATGGAAAGAGATATTTACTATTATATTTAATTAAATTATGGAAATTTTTGCCATTTTTTGTTAAAAGTATTACATAATATTAAATTTTTTAAATCAATATTTGCATTATAGATATAATATGCAAGCTGCAAGGACCATAAATAATGTGTGATAATATTTATATTTGCATTTTTTAGATTTGCTATTGATAATTATATGTAATATATATCTATTCATAATATAAAAAAGAATGTACTTTGTATTTCTTTAAATAGAACGTTCGTACCATAATATTGCATTTCTAGATTAATTTAAAAATTCAGCATTTATACTTAAATAATGATTAAAGTAAATATTTTTTATAAGGACATTAAACTTATGTAACATGAAAAGTCACATTGTTCTTAACAATAAAATAAAATTAGAAAGACTGAAATTGAAAATTTAAGTAAAATATTTTTTTTTAAATGTATATATGTGTGTGTTCTGTGTTGGATAGGTAAAATATAATATTATCCTACATATATAATTTTTGTAAGTTATATCTACTTTACAAAATGCGTATTCTAGAAAGTATTATATATAATATTTATAGTTTTATACAAAATTATATTTATTTTATTTGTACTTTTATAAACTAGAGGCACTAATTCTGTAATGAATATAAAATTGCAAAAATATGAAAAATTTTATAAATATATCTTAAACCTAACATTTTCAGATATATTGTTATATTGCATTAATATAAAATCTTAATATATGTATATATCTGATCCTTTATCTTGATCTAACAGAAATGCAATATTTTAAATAATATCGCTTCACATTACGATTTGGTCGTTTGTACAATACATTTTGTTTCATATTTTGCACAGCCATTGTATTCTCTTAATTTAGCTTTATTCTCTTCATATTCCATACTATCTAGGTTGACACAAGCACATCTGGATGTGCTTTGTGTATTTGCAGTCTCAAACAGCATTCTTGGTACTCCTACCCAATCTCTTTCAATTCCACCACTGTTAAACATTAAAATAAATAATGTAATTGTCTTTTATTTAAAAAAAGTATATTTCTTTCTTCTTTAATATTAAAAAAATTATTACCTTCTATTAGTACACCAGAATACAGTGCCCATATCTGGATTCCATTCTATATTACAGGGTGGGAACATTCTTTTCTGTTTCTCTTCCAATGATTTTTCCTTTTTAGCAGATAACACTTTTCCTTGTACCTTATAAAACTCTGCAGTGGGACTGCCATCTTGATTGTAATATTTGCCATATAATTTTCCTGAGGAATAAACAAATATTTCAGAAAGTGCTGTACATGCGCATTGTTCCACTTCATGCAATGTTTATGCACAAATCAAATAACATGAACAATTCTTTTTTTTTGTACAGTAAATATAATATACCTTTCGCTTTATTCTCGCTGCATAGGTTGATAAAGTATCATGAGATTCTTTTTTGACTCTATTAGAGTAAAATTATTGAGAAGTGGATCAATCGCTCTTATGTCTCCAGTGCAGTTTAAGTAATTGTACCTTTGTAAATGTAGTTTGTATTATAAAATTGTAGCCAATCGTCCAGCGCCTTAACTTGATGCGCAGATAAACTAGATGTGTCATCTGTCAAATCTTCTTCAAATTCTCCAGTAATAAATGCCAAGGAAGCATCACGACCTATAAATGAATAATTCCATATACATACATAGTGGCTAATATATACATATATCTTTCAATATAAGAAATAGCTACCAGTGAAAGCATGATATTGACTTCCAGGTCCATAATGCTTTTCTCCTTTAGTCACATCAAAAACTTGGCCTAAAATCGAGAGATATAGACCGTCCTCCAGATTCGTATATCGTTTCAATTCACTCGTGGTGAATACCTTTCCCCTTCAGAGTCCTCATTTAATCCAAGATATATCGCGTCAACTATATTCAATGTTCCATCCATCAAGTGAGTTTTCATCTTTCTGATGAAGTCGCGAGAATATAGAAAATACATGATTCCCAGAAGCAGCGACAGCCAAAGATACTTGGAGAACATAATTATATTGTTTAAAAATATTTAGGGAATCCTTTGACATGTGCAATTTTCAATGATCTTTCTATCTTTTTTCTTTCCGTATATATAACATATGTCACTTTAAATTATTTTGTTGATTCCGATTCTAGCGGACTGTTTTAGAACTACGTAGCAAATTCTATAAATTTCTCTTCCGTTGGTAACACAGGAAAAATAAAGAAAATTAATTTATGGTTATGATAGAGAGGATATGAAGACGATGAAGATATACATGTATATATGTATATGAAGCGGCACAAAAAATAAGATAAATATCTATAAATAAATTAGTAACAAATTATCGTAAGTATCACAATTGAACTTGTTACAGTATACCCGTTAAAAAGTATATTTAGTATCAAGTGATATCAATTATTACTTCCAAACGAGCGGCTATTATAAAAATACACCTTCCGAATGGCGAACGTCGACGAGTTGCAAAAATAATTTGTAATAATATTACACGCTGCTATTGAGCTCGAAAACAAGGTATGGACTCCTAGAGCTTGAATTTCGCCTCTCAGTTTTTATATAAAAAATTAATAAATAATTATGTAACTTTCATGCAATAATTTTTACTCCAATTTTTTGTGTCTCTTTAGATATCTTGAATGAGCAACAAAAATAATTATCGGAAAGTATCAAGTGGCAAAAAAGAGAGAGGGAGAGAAATCACGGAAAAGATACTTAATTGCAAGCAAGCCTTTCTAACAATAAAATGTCCACACAGCATAATCGAATGTAAATATGTACATATATATATCCATATTTCTAGCTATATAACATAAAGCAATTTAGAACCTCTTTATTTATGTTGCTATTTATTAAAGTCATCATCGCGAAACTCATTTCCAGATTTCCATCCCGAGTTTCGTAACCAATGAGAAACATCATCGCGCGTGATCGATCATAATTTTTTATCCTCGATATTGACAAGCGGCGCGTGCAATAATATGCAAAGACATGTTTGACATTTCGAGATTTACGTCCGCCAGCTGATATTGCGGCAACCGGTAGCCGGAGCTGCTACCGGACAGCAAATGACGTCCGAGGAGTCCGAGGCTGGAGGACGGCGGTTACGCTTGGCTAACCAAGACAATCGGGATCAACGGTCAGTCGCGTGTCGACGTGTATCCTTATTGCACTGCGCGAGAGTGCATCCGCGACTTTCCTCGCGTACTTTCCATCATCCGCGTCATTTCTCTTCGTGAGCTTCGTCAACAACGATCATCAGTGCATTTTCTTTCGCCTCGTAGAGAAAACGTTTTTAATCGCGGCGCGATGGTTCTTGTTATTTTTTTATTAATTTGTCGGTATTTTATTTTGTTGTAATTCTCTATTTTGCATCCTTTGATTCTATTTTTCATGTTAAAAAAATCTGTAAATGACGATCAATTAAGTACGGGCTTATAGTAAGACGCGATCTATAGGTAGTAAATTGAATGACATTTTGACATTCTGTAATGTCATAGTCTGCTACTTATGGGGGATGAAAGAAAGTTCGGAGAGTTTGCCTGCATAGAGGTAAAAACTTTTATAAACATTACAAATATATATATTGTTTACAATTAGTCTAGAAAATCTGATCTTTGGTAAGAAATTTTTATTTAAAAAATATTTTTATTTTTATTTAAAAAGTAAGAAATAAACGAGAAGAAAAATAACACGAAGATTTGCGTACAAAATCGTAGAATCACCAAGCATCGCTTTTGTCCCATCTTATTTGGCGCGTATAATTAACTTAATGAGATACAGCAGAGAAGAACGCGCAAATAAGACACAAAGATTCTTGATATTCCGGGAAAAAATAATCTGATTAAATTATATAGCAAATTAAATCAAATTAAATTTAATCAGATCTAATTTTTATCTGATTTGATAATATAAGTAGATCTGGTTAGATATGGAACATATATATACAAATAAATTTAAAGAGATTTAGTTGAACTTATATGAAACATGTCAGATCTGAGGAAATTCGATCATATTTAATCAGATCTATTGACATTATTTGTCTATCAGATATGATGATAGACAAATAAATTAGATAAAATGAGATATGATCCCAGTGAGAAATCAATAGTTAAAAAGTCGAATCAACGTCTTTTACACCAAATTTGGTCTTTTTAACTATAGTGATTTCTCACTGGATTCATATCTGCTCATATCTAACTTTGCATATATGTATTCCGACTATAATATATAGTTTCTTTTACAGTTAGTATAGAATGAACTGCAGCCGAATGCATTATGCACAAGTTTTCGCTATTTGCGCGGCTCGTCTTCGTCCTCTTCATCTGTACGACGACTGCGATCTTCTGCGTCCTGTTGTTGTTTCCGGGTCTCCCTGACGGAAGATATTCTCGGAAGAAACAAACATCTATAAGAGAAACGGAGGAAGAACATAGAAGATCCACTCCGAGACAGTTTAATGCACGAGACTTAGTTACGAGGACGATGTCCTTTGATAAACATCTCCTGGAGAGAAGCTTCACCAACGAGCAGGTAAGATGTTGCGTTTTATTTTGCGGTATAGAAATGAAGATACGTTTTTATTTAATTTATTCTGATCAGAAAATAATTTTGAAAGATATTGTTTGTTTTTTCTTTTTTAATGTATACTGAGGAAGACTGAGTTAACAATCGAAACGTCTATATGTTATTTCTTTTGTAAACAAAGTAAATTATTTCTATATAATTTTTTGTATATAACACCTATTTTTATTGCTTGTTAAGCTGGCCCTTGATTTTTTTATTTTATATACACTATATTGTTCTTAAGTATCATGATGTTTCTTTAGATAGGAAATATGTCTCTTCTTGGAAAATGGTTGTTGGCGCCGGAAGGGACTCTACCGCCGAGATCCAACATCACTAACAGAAACTACTTGATCCTAATTTGGAAGCATGGACCATTCCTGGAACGTAGACACATCAGACGTTTCACGAAGAACAAGTTAGTTTTTTAATATTTTTCATAAATTAATTTAAATCTCGGCATCCTCTGGATGTCTTCTGCTGGATGTCCTCTGAATGTCTTTCGGATATATGTGTTATTAGAGGGAGATTTTGAGCAGAGGAAAGTTAAATTTCTTTATGCAAGAATGAAAAATACCTCGACGAAGATTTACGAAATGATACGTTTTTTCAGATTTTCTCCGTGGGACCGATGTTCTGCGGGGAATTGTACGCTGAGTTACAACGAAGAGGATTTGCATCGAGCGGATGCTGTAGTGTTTCATTTGCACTTCACGAAGAATCCTTCGGAGCTGCCTAAGAGAAGCCGAGCGGATCAACGGTGGATCTTCCTGACGGACGAATCGCCCTTTCACACGTTTCTGCATGGTAGACAGAAATTATCGGACTATAACGGTTTGTTCAACTGGTCCATGTCCTATCGAATGGACAGCGACGTGCCGGTTCCCTACGGAAGAACGGTGCGAATCCCTGACGATACTTCCGGCAGCAACGTCAGATCCTGGGACGCCATCCTGAGGCTCACCAAGACTAAACTAGTCGCCGTGATGGGCAGCAACTGCGGTGGCCGTAATTTAAGATGGTCCTACGTGAAGACGCTCAAGTTGTTACTCGGCGACGACCTGGACATTCTTGGGAGATGCCTGGACGGCAACAGGACGGTCTGTCCGGGTCACTTTGATCGAGATTGCGGCGCCTTAAGCGCGTATAAGTTCTATCTGTCGTTCGAGAACTCCAATTGCCGGGAATACCTGACGGAGAAGGTGTTCTGGAACGCGTACGGCAAACTCGCGGTCCCGATAATAATGGGAGCATCGCGGGACGACTGTCGGCGATTGTTACCGCCACGTTCCTTCCTTCACGCGGACGATTTCGCCGACGCGGACGCGCTCGCCGACCATCTCAGGTATCTGGACCGCAACGACGAGCGGTACATCGAGTATCACGAGTGGCGAGATCGTTATCGGGTAATTAACGAGCACGGCTACTTCGGCAGCGTGTCCAGGCACTATTGTCGCGTCTGCGAGGCGCTGCATTACAACTCCGTTGCGCCGAAGGTCTACACGAGGCTCGAGCATTTTTGGAGCAAGAGAGATTGTACTTAGATATTTCAGTCAATATCATTAATTATGATTATCTAGTCTTTGCGAAATGTGAATTAATTGAATGGATTAATGTATAAATAAGTCTTCCATTGATAGCTTTTGAAGAGAATTCAGTGCAATTAGCACTAATATAAGTCAAACTCGAGTTCTTTGGATGTATTTATTTATAGCGACTCTATTGAAAAAAAATCTTATATTTAATTTAATTTAATTTATAATTTTAAATACATTTTGGAATTTTATTTAATATAATTATTATTTATTATAATTATGCAATAAATATAATTATATATATAATTATATTTAATTTTATTACATAATCATAATAAGTAAAGATTCTTGTTCACGTTGTTCGGAATAATTATCAGCAAAACAAATTACAAAATGACCATTAGCCACTGAAAAGATTAATTTTCCGCATTTGTTTTTTAATTTATTCCTTATTTAGATTTCTAATGTGTAAATATAAAATTTCACGTATTATTTATAATTGGGTAATACAAAAAAATTAATAATTAAATGGAAATGTATATGCGCATATAAAAGAAAATTATGATAAATATTATAATTGTAATTAATGCAATTATGTATGTGTAATTCGTCGTTATTTATTGTGTATGTACATCGAATTGTAAAATATTTTTATATATGAAGAAAACTGATAATTCTCTTGTGTAGACATTAATATACAATAACAATTCATACTTGCCGCCTAAACAGAAATCGCTCGAAAGTTCTCGAGATTATTTAAATTTTCTAAAATAATTTGTAAGTTTAAATTAAATTTAATTTCACGTGTATGAGTATGTATAGATGTATATATATATATATATATATATATATATATATATATATATATATATGCAGATGGATATCTCTGAATATCTCGATTCAAAAAATATGTAGAGAATTTAAATCTCTTATAGCGAGATTATATTCACATTTTTAAATTTAAAACAGCAGGACAAATTGACTTTCCCTCTTTATCGCATTAAATTTGAAAAAGTTTTCGAAAAACCAAACCGGCGAAGGGGCGGAACCGGTGTCGCGCAATAAAATTAAACACGAACCGAGGATGCGATGCAACGCGATGATGACGACGCAGGGCGGAAGTAGTGGAGAGAGAGATAGACGGCGACTCCGTGCACATGTTGCAAATGGCAGGCGGTGCGTGAGCGTGACATTTCAACACTCGGTGTGTTTTCGGATGTTGTAGATTCACGTAATTCCACATCCTCGCGTAAGGACCGGCTCTTCCGCATCCTTCCTCCACGATCTAGATCAAACACTCCGGCTTCCCCGACGTGCTCGCGGGGTACGTTGACCGGGGTACACCTCTCCGAAGAGGGAGAGGGCGGCGGCAACGGCCGCACGCACCTTGAGACGAGGAGAAGTTCGTAGAACCCGGGTGAGACAGACGGAACGCGATGGCGAGGCTGGTAAACATTTGGCGGGACGAGGAGCCGGTGAAGCTGTCGGCCAAGCAAATGCCGTTGATCATCGACGAGAGTCTGACGGTGAGCCACCTCGAGCAATCCTGCTTTCCCCGACTCCTGGTGCGCGACGACGTCGACGATCTTACGTAACGATATATCACGTCCTCGCGGGACGTCCTTAATCTTTAGAAAAAAAAGAAATGCGAAAAAAAAAAACACGTAAACTTCTCGAAAATAAGAACACGTTTCGGAGCAATTCTGGAGGCCGTTTGTCGTTTGTTTTGTTTGCGTTCGGATATTGTTTGGAAAGAACCTCGGCGATGTCGTCGCCGACTGCGACATTGCTTGTTCTCGCACTTGTGTCATATAGATTGTACGATCTCTTGATTTCTGTATTTTTGTCGTGGCTCCTCTCTTCAAGGCGAACGAGAAGATATGTGTGATAATATGCGGTAGATTATCATATCGTTTAATAAGATACTTACTAGCTGTACAAATTATGGTTTTAAAGATCAATGTATAATATTCTACATTATTTGTTAAATCGAATGTGATTTATATTGCAAACTATATAAGCTTTACTTGTGTCCTTTTAGATGATCATGGATATAAGTAATTTAGGAGCGGTTAGTGATAGTCCTTTAGTACGTGGTAAACAGCTGGATGAATTTACAAGGAAGTTGGATATGCTCACGAAGGAAGAAATCAAAGCATCGTTTGAAGTTACTTGCAAGGACATGCTTGGAATTTTGGGCCAGACAGAACCGTGTGTCGGTTGTCGAAGAAGGTGATTATTCTCTTTTTTCTGTTAGAAATATAATATATCATTCTATTCTTGGACATTAGTAAATGACGGTACAATATTCCATGTTTAGTGTTGAAAGATTGTTCTACGACTTGATGAAGTCAGGCCATCCAGCATTGGATCCGTTAGTAATTACTCCCAATGGTGTGCTTTCTATAAAAGATGAAGTTCTGGAATCACCGCAACGGCTTTGCACAATATTGCATGGACATAGGTATTTTAAATTACAAAACTGATTATTCAAGTGACATATGCAGGAAAGAATCGTCATTGTCAATTATTCTTTTTTGCAGCGCTAGGTTACATAATTTAGTAGAGAACCAACCGAGAAATAGAAAATCCCGGCGATGCGTTATGCACTCTTTAGAAATTCAACGAATGCGACCGCCGCCGAATGCATGGAGGGAAGTGTGGGATTGCATGGAATTGCCATGTCAAGAGGAATTAACTTTAATCGAGAATAGGACACTTGACCATACTTTGGACACTTATCTACGTAAACATAGGTATATAAATTCCAGTGTCTATAAATCTTAATGTAAAACAGACGATTTTTATACCTGATTTTTATCGCGATTTCTCTCAGGTTTTGCGTCGAGTGTCGTAACAAAGTGTTATTGGCGTCGTCTCTCCTCACACGAGAACTCGAACCTGCGAAGGAGAAAGGCTACGCAGCAGTTTTATACTCTGGAATTAGACGTTGTATAGCCGATCGTCATATTCACTTACCAACTGTGACAGAATACATTGGCAAACTTATTGGTCGCGCACAGCCAGAACTCATGGGAAGGTATTGATCTCCACTGTTGCTGTAGTATTTTTTTTATGTATCATGAAAGACATAAGAGATGTTGAATTTCAGAGAGCGTCATGCAAAGACGTTGGAAATTGCTCAAGAGGAAGTACTTACATGCTTAGGTATATGTATGGCGGAGCGATTGCATAGAGTTCATAGGCGGCTGAAGGAAGAGGAGACCGTGTGTAAAGTATTAGCTGCTGTCGCGGTGGACGCATTGTCCAGAAATTTCCAGGTAATAACACTTCATCAAACTTAAAGCTAAATAGAGGAAAAAATATTTCTTTACACTTTATATATTTATATACAATTTGTTGGATCGACAAAACTAAATTATTTTGTCCTGCGCAGATGGCAGTCGAGGTGAAACAAGGTATCTCTCAATTAGAACTGTTGTACGAGGAAATTACAAGGGAGGAAATAGCGAAGCAGCAGAGACGTGAAAAGTTACGGCTAAAACGTAAGAAAAAGAAGGAACGTCGTTATGAAACTGAAGAGAAGGAGAATTCCTGTGACGTATGTTGTAATATATATTTTTGTAAATTATCTTTTAATAATTGCTTAACCATTTTTTTATCAAGGGGATATTGTATAGTATATCGAAAGAAATAAAATTAAAATTAATTAGCTATATATATATGTACAATATATATATGTGTGTGTGTTAAAAATTACATATGTGCCATAGTGTTCAAATGAAAGGCAAGATAAAGCCTCTTGTACTTGTGCAGAATCAAAGCCAACGACGCAAAATATCGACCGACATAAGGTACAAACAAAACCTGAGTTTTACATACATCTTTTATATGCATGCGCTTACAAACAAAAAAGTAAATAAACATAAGTATTTCTGTATATCTAATGTGTTTTTATTTCAGTTACAAGTCTTGGATCCAAAAACAAAGGACCACCCACATGTAAATGCCCGGATTGTTTAAAGAAACAAAAAACATCTAGTAGTATATCGCAAAAAAATTTAGAGTTAACATACCTTTTAAATAACACAAGTGCACAGAAAGCTGTTGTTAAAAATAGCACTTCTGAAGCGAAAACGAAATTTAGTACAAGTCAATCGAAACAAAATGAGACATCTCACAAAGAATTATCTCAAGAGGATTCGTCCGACACTTGCGAATTGTGTAAGGTAAAGTAACAACATTAATTGTCAAAATTTCTCATAATTTTACAGAAGTGTAGTTTTTAAAACTGAAATGTTTGTAATTCTTCTTTTCCTTTTATTTCAAGGAAAGTGAAAAGGTTGATGAGGGCATACAGTGGCATGTATATCACAAAGTCCACAAAGATTTCGTGACTGATGAACTAACAAATACATGGATAACAAAAGGCGACGAAGCTAAATATCCCACCCTAACCGAGCCTAATCTAACCATGTTGATGGAGATGAAGGAACAGTTTACAAGACACACTTTACCGACCTTGCTCAATTGTAATAGATTGTACCAAGATTGCGGATATTTTTCTGGACACAACGTCAGTAGTTCCTCTCTTCCTAGTACACCAGAGGGCTCCGAAGTAGCCTGCAACGATGAATGTTGTAATCACGAAAGGGCTTGTCACGATAAACTTAATCATTCCAATCCTAGTATTTCTTTATTAGAAGAAAGTGGTTCGCTGTCACAAATGCTAAAGGTAAAAATTTATACATATGTAATATGCATATGACATTCTGTATATCCATAATTTTTTTCTCTGTAGAAAAATATTTTAACTCGGTATTTGTTTTCAGGATTCCAATTTTTCCGACGAGAACGAGAGCTATATTCCTGATGAAGAAGTGTTAGAGTTTAAGTCGCGAATGTGTCATCAACTTAAAGAGAAGCGGCAGAAACTCCGACAAACGCTTAAAGAACGTTTTGCTATGTTGTGCAGCCATCAGAAATCGCTTACAATTATTCAGTAAGAATTCCTCCTAGTTATGGTAATTCAATATAATATATCTGATTTTTTCCCTTTTTTACATTGATTTACTGCCAGTAACAGGAGACAAATATGATAAATGTATTTTGAATAATTGTTATTATTCGAAATCGAACCTTCTAATGTTAATTAAATGCTGAAAATATATACAACATATATACAAATATAAAACATACAAGGATATCAAGAAAGAAGAGCTAAACATAACGTATAATTATTTATCTCTGCAAGCAGAGATCGTGTATAATAAATAAAAGATGTCAAGACAAAAAGAGGGTTTCGATAATCGAATAACATTGATTTTGAAAATACAAAATATACAATGCAAAGCATAAGACTATAGAAGATTGAATTTGATTGTATAGATCTGTACAATTGAAGTAAACGTAGATATTTTGTATGAATATGCCTTGACTGTTGAGAATATGGCAGGTCCGATTCTGTTGCATGCAGTAAATGCGAATCGTTATAGACACAAGTTCTTCAGTGTGATTGCTGCATATTTAAAAGATATTATATTTTCTTGAGATATTGTTCATTTTCAAGAAAATCATTTACGCGGCGATTATGGACTCGTGTCAATGTTGTAATAATAGAGACGCGATGAATCATTTATCGGAATCTTAATATAAAATGAATGTGTTGCATTCCAATATATATATATATATATATATATCTATATATACATATATTTTATTATTCCGATATACACATCCTCTCTGTGTGTACTTTCATTATACACACATACATATATATATATATATACATACACAGACACACTGTAAGGACATTATATAAAAAGATTATTATCATAAATCATATTTACATATATTGTATGTTGCATAAAAGTTATTAAAAATATTTAAACTGCTCAACACTGATGATCAGTCGTACAAGAATTAATTCGTTATTGAATTTGCTTCTCTTGGATCTTGTTTTAAATATATGTACATATGTTACACAAATAGTGGTCTTTCTGTATCATTTGAACAATAGAAATATCAAAGGAACTGTCTACTGTCTCTCATAGGCTTATTCTCTTTTGTACTTTTATACTTCAATCAATTGTATTCGAAAAAATGAGAAAGTAGCGAATTCTGTCTATCGACATATAATTGTAACAATTTTCAAACCCGTTCAATTGACATATTGCGCGAAACATAAGCAGGCATTCGTTCCACCAAAGCCAAAAGCGTTTTTCAAAGCCGTTCGACGCGTCGTCGTCGTCGTCCACTTTGCCTTCGTATGCGGTGCAAAGTTCAAGCGCGTCTCCATGTCCAGGTTGTGCAGATTCAAGGTGGGCGGTATTACGCCTTCTTTAATCGCTAAAATCGTGAAGGCGGCCTCCAGGTTACCAGCGGCACCCAGCAAGTGACCGTGCGCACCCTTGGTGCTCGTCACCGTGACGTTTCTGCTGTGTTCACCCATTAGCGACTCGATCGCCTTCAACTCGATCGTGTCGCCCAACGGCGTGGACGTGGCGTGAGCGTTTACGAACGTCACCTCCGAGCTCTCAATGCCGGCGTCCTTCACCGTCCGGTCCATCGCCAGGAGCGCGCCGATACCATCCTCGCTCGGCGCCGTTATGTGAGACGCGTCGCCGGACAAACCATAGCCCAACACCTCCGCGTAGATGGGTACACCTCGGGCGAGCGCGTGATTCAGCTCCTCCAGGACTAGGATCGCGGCGCCCTCGCCCATTACGAAACCGTCCCGGTCCCGATCGAATGGTCGCGACGCTTCCTCGGGCGCGTCGTTCTTCGACGTGCTCAGCGCACGTAGACGGCAGAAGGCGGCTATCGCCAACGGGCTGACGCACGCTTCCGCGCCTCCGCACACCATCACGCTCGTCTCGCCGCCGCGGATGAAGCGAAACGCGTCTCCTGCGGAAGGTAATCGCGGTGCGTTAGAATAGATTAGGAAAACGAAACTGAATATTTCATTTTTATATCAATTCTAATATATCATTTTATATAATATAACTCTTTACTAATATATATCTTTTATATTCTAATATATATCTTTTATATCCTAATAGAATTCTAATATATATCTTTTATATCCTAATAGAATTCTAATATAACTCTTTTTACTAATATATCTTTTATATCCTAATATAATTCTAATATAACTCTTTTTACTAATATATATATTTTATCCTAATATAAATCTTTTACTAATATATATCTTTTATATCCTAATATAATTCTGATATAATTCTTTTTACTAATATATATATTTTATCCTAATATAAATCTTTTTTTGTTAATCAGAGAGTGACCTATGGCATGTGCTCCTGTCGCGCACGCAGTTGACACAGAATGATTTGGCCCACGAAAGCCGTACTTGATACTAATCTGACCAGCTGCCATATTGGGCAATATTCTTGGGACGAAGAACGGACTGATCTTGCTGTATCCTTTCTTCAAAGCTTCGTACGTCATGCAGACGTCTACCAGATCTATCATGCCGATTCCTACTGAGACTCCAGTGTCACGCTTATCATTCTCATTGTTTGGTGTCCACTTCGCATCCAAGAGTGCCTCTTTTGTGGCTATCAGGGCGTATGCAGTAGCAGGACACATTGTACGTAATTCAGTTTTAGTAAAATGAGAGTCAATGTTGAGTTCGTGAGGAGCATTTCCTTTTGGCACTAACGCAGCTATAAAATATGAATTAATTACAATTTTGAGTAACTAATTATAACAGTATTTGGAGTTGATAAATTTTGGTGTTAAAGTTGATATATATTTTATTATTATTACATAATATATAATAATATATATATATATATATATATATATATATATATATATATATATATATATATATATCATAATATGTAATATAATCATATATATATCATAAAATAATCATAAAGAATAAATCTCACAATATACACATGTTTGAAAGTAATATATATATATATAATATATATTACTGCTCACCTATTTTACATGGCAAGTTGGTGTAATCCGGTTCGAAAAGCTTCGTGATTCCGCTCTTGGAATCGGTGAGAGCTTCCCAAGCATTTCGCATCCCGACTCCTAGGGGACACACAATCCCTATCCCGGTGACAACAACACGTCGTTTAGATCTCGCGACAGTCGTCAACGACCGGCTGATGTTTACGAGTGGAATAGACATTGCAATCTTCATTGATCGCCGGTTGTTTTTAATAATTATGCAAGCTGCATCATCCCTTCGTCACGATCCTCGCGTAAAATTTATAAATGTTTATAAAAAAGGAATACACTTATTTCTCAATTAGTGCAGGTTATGTTTTTCGTTTACACGTTCGTACCACGTGAGAGATGAAAACAGAGCACTTCGGCCATCTTCGGTCAGTTTCGATAAAAGAGGATATATAGACATTTTTTATTTTTATTTTCTTGTATCGTATTTTTTTTTCATCATTGACACTTTTTAAGTCAGTTTAAGTCATAGACTATTTTAATCTTAGATAAAAATGCAAAGAAATCTATCGTTTTGTGTATCAAGAACGAGTATATTGAAAAAAAACAAAGATTTATTATTTAAATATTAAGGGGAATAATACAATAAAAAAATATAGAGAATACGTTTAAAAACTTTATTTTGGTTCGCTTTTTGTAATTGGGAAAAATATATATATATAATGTATATATTTCGTATATATATTTTGCATGTACCTGTAGGAACTTTGGGCTACAGATTATGTCAGGGATAATCGTCGTTTAGCATAACATATCAATTTAAAAAAAAATTAAACATGCAAATATGTCACCAACGAAATAAAAAAAGAATCTTATTCCTATATTAAAACTAATGTTTTGTTAAATCTAAATATATGTATGCGTTGGTAACAAAATAATATAAAATATTGCATGTTACATAGGTTTTTACATTTGACATGAATGTATGCAAGGCCTGACTTGTGCTTGCGCAGCCTGCGTTTCATATACAAAAGTCATCTATATAAATTATAGATAATAAGAAATATAACTTGATAGAATAGAAGAATATAAAAGAAATTTTAAAGGATTTAAGAATTTTCCAATTAAGAAAAGAGAAAGGAAAGGAAGGGAAAAAGAGGGAAAGAGAGAGAGAGAGTGAAATAGAAATATTAATATATAATACCTTATTTTTTATTTTTAATGTATCGAATAAAATATGATTATAATTTTTGATAACAAAATACATTGCTACTGCATAAATAATACATATATTGTGACCGATTCTATTAGCTCAATATATTTTTAAGATCAATATTTAGTCCAATAATTTACATCTTTACAACATAAAACAAAGAAGAGAAAGAAAACAGAGATGGCAACAAAATATAATCCATGAGTATAAAAAAATAAAAAACTCTTATCTCTTTAACTTAAGCGTCTAAGTTTTAAAAAGAAAATGTATATATTTTAATACATTCAATATAAAAGTTGATGTGTAAACAATTGATGTGTAAACAATTGCACATATTGGAAATATTTCATCTTAATAAATGTAATACGTATTTTGTTATAGAATATAATGAGCATTTTATTCGATACAAGAGAGTGTTAAATAAAAAAAATTGGAGAAAATATTTCTCAATATCTTTTTCAGAACTAATTTATAGTCCCAATCCGCCCCTGATCTTACGCATGGCACGCGATTATCAACCGACATTCTAAATTCCGACGCTGAACAACTCTGTTAAATCGTATAAAATTATGTACAGCATCGCGATACTCTTACTATTGTGCTTTACTTTTACGCCTCGGGATTGCCTTTTATTTCCCCTTGTATCCGTTTTTTGAGAACACGAAATCTTCGACTAGCGCATATTTATATATATTTGTCTGTATACATATCCACGTAAGAAAGTCTAGAAAATTATATATAACATACGAAGCTCGTAACCAATGGTATTGAATGTTTCTTATTAATTTTGGTCATCGAGAAGAGTTAGTTTTCTTCATCTAAAATTCGGACAAATGCAAAAAATTTCACAAATTTGTTCTGTAAAGAGGAGAACATAGAATCTCCTTCGAGAAGGGGAGAAGGGGCTCTAAAGCGTTAGTAAATGCTTTTTTTCTATTCAATAGAGGGCAACATCATCAATTTGTCTCCGCAAAAATCTTTATCATTAGATCAATATGCATGGTGTTATTATCAACTTCATGCATATGGATCTTCAAATCTCTCGTTTCGTCTTCTTCAAACATCTCGCTCAATATGTCCTCGAGCTTCTTTCCTTGACTAGATTCATATTATACAGATATCTCTCGCCTGATGCCATTGTACATCCCGACTGATTGCAGAACGTCGGGCGTTAAACGTTGGACTTGACCTTGCTGTTCTCGGACTCAAGCGGGTAGTCCGAACAATATTCGGAATGCGTTGCCCATGCGGCAAGCTGCACACAGATATTAATAATTATTGATTATTAATACAAATCGATAAAAGATTCAAGTGCGATCTAATATACCGCGACATATTAGAAACCAAACTGTCTATACCTGACATTGACGACTGCAATACCACTGGTTTCCGCATCCGGCGCAAACGAATTGTGCAGGACGAATCATACATCCTTGACATTTGGGTGGAGCGCTCGGTGAAGGCGGATTGTCCTTTGCCATTTGTTTACCGTCCCTTCCGCTCGTAGAACTTCCTTTCCTATCGTCGATTACTGTTGCTTCTTCCTCCACGTCCTCCTAGAAGATTTAATCTGACAGTTGGAATATGAACGTGTGCACGAAAGTATATACGAATAAATCGAAAAGGAAGTATTTACCACTTGAATTAAATCGTTGGAGTGAGATTGCGCAGAGGAGTTGACGACAGGAGTTATAGTTATCTCTGTGCGAGCCTGAAAAAATCTCGTTATTATCTAACTGTCAAAATATCAAATGTCAAATGTGCTATTTTTTGTCCAACCTCTCACCCAGATAGCAAATTCCGGGTTTCTTCGGAAATCTGGCTTTTTTCATAAAATTTATATTATTTATTTGTTATTATTTATATACTATTCATAAGTTCCATATAAAACTTTATAATATATTCGAGTATTTGTGACAAGTATCGTGTTTAAAGAGAACCGCGGACTCTTATAACGCTGATTTAAATTGCAAAAAGACTAGTAATTGCAAGGAATATAAAAAAGCAAAAAACCTTGGAAGAAGACAGGATATCGTTTATAGAAACCAGATTAGAGCCTTGATACGTCTGCAAAAGGTGTTGGGTCGTGGCGCTCTGCTGCGACATAGACGCCATCGCCGCCGCCGCCGGAGAACTCCTTTCTCTTTCAGGCGCGGTGAGTAATCTCGCTAAAGTAGGTGAAAAAGTGGTAGATCTTGGCGATTGCGCTTTCGTTAGAATCCCATGAAGCAACGAACCAGTCGACTGAGACGCGGTATTCTGGGGTGCGGATGAGGGTGCCGCTACAGGGTGAAGCGTTACGTCCGGATAATTCTGTGGCACCTTAGTCGCAGTACCTTCACCTAAACACACATATTGAAAATTGAAACGCGATTGTAAATCATCGACCAATCGCAAATTACATTTCAGAATTTACGGAATAAATTCAATTAACAATTAAAAATTCGAGAAAATTGACGTTACCTTGTTGGCTCATCTTGGCAAATTGCACTAGTATGTCTTTGTAGTTCATAGAATCGTTTGTGCTCGGGTTGCTTTTGCACGATTCTGTGCTAGATGGTCTCGAGTCGGTATTGTGTCCGGTTTCAACCATGGCGCCGCCAGCTCCGAGTGCAACATTTACCGAATTCCTCATCCTTCGTCCTCTGTATAATTAGAAAAAAATATATTTCATGTCGTCCAATGTACACATATTTTATTCCTCGAATGTTTATAGAAATTATTAAAAATTTCGATCTTGTATGCCGATTTAACATTATAAAAAAAGTTACGCGCTTTCTCTGAAGTCTTTTGTTTATTCAATCGTAATTAATTACCTTCTTGGTACCGTTTCTGGATGTTTGAGCCTGTGATCAGCGATGATAGATCTGACATCTACTATCGCACCTTGACGACCTTCTCCGATCTGCCGACTCTCCGGACTCGATGTTTGGTTTCGTTTACGACTGTTTTCCCCGTTGGTCTTCGGAGGAACTATCCGTTGCTGTGGACTAAATTTCACGCCCTTTTCCCTCTTCAATGAGTCCAAAGATCTTTCTCCAATTAAATCTTCCTTAGATTCAAACTTCTCTCTTGAGGGAATCGCGTTGTCGCTATTATCCCACTCGGCAGATCCCAAAGACGATGTGGCAAGCGGCAACGGATCCGGTAGCTGGCCGTCGCTGTCCATGTAAGCTGTCATTTGTATCTTCCTCTCGAGCCTCACATACGCCTCCTCCTTCAGCTTCCTCTTTCTCAAAATCTCGTTCCATTCCATTTCTTTGGCATGTGCTAAATTCTCGAGAGCCTATGCGTATAGAAGGAAGCATAAAATAAATGTTAAAAAAAGAAAAGAAAGAAATAAAGGTAGTTTCGAGAAAAAGAGACTTACCAAGATGTCGGTTCGCAGCCGATCCGCCCTCACCATAAGTACGTCGACTGTCTCGTTGTCGTTGCCGACGATCTGCGAGATATACTCTTCTCGTTCGTCGTCGTTGCAAAACTTCTTCCTGGGATTCACGGACAGCTGTCCGTTGGTAGATTTCCGCTTCTTAGTCTCGACGGACTCGACGGACGCAGCTTTGGCCTGACGTTGCGTAACATTGCTCGCGGCAGCCACCTTCTGTCGCGACGTAGTCGCCAGCAACTGCCTGCTCTTCGTGACTGGCGTCTCGGTGTCGGAGGACTCCGCCTTCCTCTTCACACGAACCCGACTCGCGGTCGCAGTCGGCGCCGCGGCGGTCTCTTCCGGAAGAGCGGCGCCGTTCTGCTGACTCTGGGGTATCTCCGACGACGACGACGACTTTGGCGTCTTCTCGTCGTTCTCCTCCGCCGTGTTCACTTGCCTTCGCCTACCTTCGGTCGCGCCCTCCATCGCGTGCATCCTGTTCAAACTGCAAACACACACGTGACATTTTTTATTAATAACGAGGGGCTCTCGTGTTTCGAAACGTAGACTTGACATTTCATTTTGATGTTTCATATCAATTGTGTGTATAAATGATTTTTTGTTTGGTAGAAAAATTGTTTCAATCGTATAAAATTTATTGTAAATGTAAGACAAGATGTAAAAAAAATATGTTGTATAAAATAATTTTATATATTAGATACGCAGAGAGAATTTACCCTGAAAATTATGATAGTTATGGGATAATATTGTATTGGAAGAATTTTATTAGAGTTCTTTTCTGATTAATATTTATACCACAATAAAAAATATTAATATAAGATATATAATATGTTCGATTAATTTTACTATATATATATTTATATAATTTTTTTTATTGTGATAAATCAATATTAATCAGGTCCCATGATTACTATAATTTTCGTGATAAATTTTAAGAGAAAATTTTCTTCATGTATGTATTTTGACTGGAAAAAGTCAAATATGTAATTAATATTTCATTAAAGATACTGTTAGTTGCTGCCTACGAAATTTTTGACAAAATATATATTAGAGTAAAATAAATTCCAAATTAATTTTAATTAAATTTCCCTAAAGATAAGAGCATGAAATATTTTGCGTTTATTTCGATCATGGCGGTAAATAACAAATGTAACAATACAACACACACACACGCATTATTTTTTTAATTATTATTAACAATTCCGAATGCATTAAATAATGATTCCCTATAAGTCAAGATAGAATCCGCGATTTTTCCAGAAAAAAAAAAAACCGACTAATTGTCGTCTTCACTGAAAGTGTCTTATACGAAATTCTCTCGATGAAAAAAAATTTGGCAGAGGTTCGCGATATTTAAAAAAGATTGTTGACGAGACTCATCGCCTATCGAGATTCACCTGCATAACTATCTTTATTTGATTCGAGGAAAATCACGCGACGCAGTGCGCACTTACAGAAGGTCAATCCTGCAAAACATCCGTTCGAGAAACGATGACATTGATAAACCGATAACGCCGCGGCGTTATATAGCGGAGAGAGCTTCGGTCGACCTTGCCTAGAAAATAGTCGGTTCGCCGGGGTCTCAAGGACGTAAAACGGTCCCCCGCAGCATCGCAACGCGCTCATTAATTAATTCGCGCCGTGTAATTCCTCACGTATATCACGGCATAAATAAAATCTTCATATCACGACCTGATTAGCGCTATAATTAGACGCCGCGCGTGATTAACCAGTGCTCCATCGGTGTCCCGATTAAACGTGCGTAAAAGCAAACCTTATGTTACGTTTGACGAGATGGAACCGATTTTTTCTCCTTTTTTCTTTTTGAAGAAAAGTCTGCTCGTTACGAGAAATGACAGTCATTTATCGGAGTTTCATTTTATTGCGTAATATTTTCGACCTACGTGAAATTTGGTCTCTATTCATACTTTGACGTTCCGAATTGGAATTATGAGGGATAGATTTGAAAAGCCCTTCTCTTTCTAATTTTTCGAGCAAAGAAAGCTAATGATGATCAGCTTGATTTTGTTCCACCCCTCGAGTCCTAAGACACATTCACATACTACAGTATATTCTTACACAGAGAGAATTTTATATTATAGAATTTATCCTGAAAATCATGGTAATTATATGATATTGGAAGAATGTTATGAGAATTTAATTCTCGGATTACTTAATATTTACCATAATAAAAATATTAATATCGGTTACAATAAGGTATGTAAAATGTTGGATTAATTTTACTATGTACATATTAATATTTTTTATTTTGTAGTAAATATCAATAAGAGAAATTCTCATATAATTCTTCCAATATCATATTGTCCCACCATAATTTTCAGGGTAAATTCTAAGAGAAAATTCTCTTCGCGTGTTAATAAAAAAGAAACTTTCTCCTTTATAAGAAACTTTTAAAAATTTAAATATAGCAGTAAAATAATTCAAAAAAATGTTAACACCATACATGTGTAATAAATATATATTATCTCTCGAAAGCTTGGAGCAGTATAATTTGTAGATAAAACTTTTTCTCAGAGATACGAACTTTTCGTAAATAAATTATAATATTGGAAGAATTTTACGAGAAGTTTCTCGTTTTTTCACAATAAGATATAAAATTCTTTCGGATTATTCTTGTGGTAAATATTAATCACAGAAACTCTTATAAAATTCTTCCAATTGTCCCACGATTACCCTATTTTTCAGGGTAAATTCTAAGAGAAAATAATTCTCTCCCCATATACGAACATCTATTTTCCTCACTTACAATTTTCGGTACGTTTTGCTGTTGATGATCCATCCGTAAGTCGCTACAGACTTTCCAGAAGGATCAAAATTTACGAACGAGTCTAGACACTCGTAGATCGACATTGCGAGACGCGTTGGCGCATTTAATGCACATCAAGCGAATATTAAGCGCGACTATTCTCATCATGCCACGTTGACGTCAGACTTGCACTTTTCCACGTCGTGCCGCATCTCTTCGATCGTGGATCTCGACGCGAAAATGGGCTTTAAATCCGCGTGCGCCGCGTTTCATAGGAGAGACGACGTCGTCGCGCGAGATCGCTAGAGAGAGAGAAAAGCAGAGGAGGAGAAGGTCGAGGAAGAGAGAAAGAGGGGGAGGGATGGAACGTTCGGCGGAGGGGAAGGAGGGTGTTGAAAAGAGAGAGGGAGAGAGAGAGAGAGAGAGAGAAAGGAAAAGATACGGAGCCCGAGTTCGTTGCACCCGCTCGCGTTCACTGCGCTTTATAGACGCGGATATAGGTTTCGCGGTACCAATTCTGAAAAGGCGGCTCTTCCTTGCTCGCGAGAGCCTCGACCCGCGACTCAGGGAGACGTCGTCTTTACGTAGGGATTAGATAGGAGCGTTCGCGTCTCCAGGACAGGCACTTCCTTATCAGATTACAGGGCCAATTTCATCAAAGTCGTTCAGATGTGTTCTTAAGAGACCAAGATATAGTTTAACCGGAAGTTACACTTAACCGACGTTGATGAAATTGACCATAATAGAGCTATCTATCCTAGCCGAAATTAATTATTTTTACTTAGTTAAAAGGAACTGTATATGTCTTGATGAATGAATGGTGAAATGGGAGACCGAAGAAATATTAAATAATTAACTGCTCCGATAGGCAGTAATTTCCAACAAAGACATAAGTCTAATAATTTTTTGTGGGAATTATCTCATTAACGAAATGACTAAATGAGTCATTATAGTTCTTTGTTATACGAGCAGAGGAATCGATTAAGTGTCGAAAGAGATTGCTTTATCGGATCGTAATTTTGTGAACTTCCGAAGAATGCGTTTTCATCCTTTTTTTCACGGTAACAGCTAACAGGTGGTCAACACAAGCTTGTTTTCGCGTTCGGCGGCTTTAAATTAATTCACGAGTATGCATAATCGAGGAAACGTTTATTCGAATGGCGCGATTAATACGCTTCATGAAATATACGTCACGGTATACATAAATGCTTTATAAATGTACGAGGAAGTGAAAGTGGATGTCAAAATACGATGCGATGATCTACATCGAATGAAGGGAAGGCAAGCGCGATCAAGTACGATATTTGACAACCGTGAAAAGGAATTTCGAGTATAATTTGATGTCGCCCGCATAATTTGACGTCGCGGCTCTCGAATTTTTTTAAATGCACAATTTTGCTTCGAAAGAGAAAGAGCGAGAGAGAGAGAGAATTTCGAGAGACGCATCTCATCCAAGGGCTCGGAAATACAGGAAGCCCTTCGAGTGTACCCGCAGAAACTCGATAACCACCACGCATAATGCTTCCCACCGATCTACAGTGACTACACGGAGAGAATTTTCTTTTAGAATTTAAAATAAAATTTGTGGTAATCGTATGGTATTGGAAGAATTTTATAAGAGTTTCTCCGATTAAAATATTTACCATAATAAATAATATTTATATGTACATAGTAAAATGAATCGAACATATTTTATATCTTATTGTGGTAGATATTCATATTTTTTATTAACTCTTACAAAGTTCTTCCATATTGTCCCACGATTATCATGATTTTCATTCGAAGAAAAAAAATCTCTCTGTGTATTATAGAGATCCACCGCAGTTTCGTAAGTGAATTAAATTGTCGTCGACGTCAATATGCGTACTGGAGCAACTTCTTTTCCTTTTTACGGTCGCTTATCGTTTACAAACTGCAGATAAGGGGATTCCCTAGTATACGAATGAGTCTTCGCGGCTGGAAGAGAAGTATCGATTATCGGAGACGGATCCATTCATCACGAGACGCGATAAGCGATAGCCAAGACTATATCGATTCGTCACAATGATGGTAATAAACACGTGCAAACACACACATGCACGTAATTTTTGTCGTCTGTGTGAAGGAAGCTACCTATACGTCTCGTCTGACAGTCGCGATTTGTCTTTAAGAGCCTTTTTTTTTTTTAAACATATTTTTTATTTAAAACAAATTTTTCCGCGTCGCGCTCTACCTTTTACATCTAGTCATCGAGTAGTTACTTTCCTCGCCGTTTTCACGGTATAATGATAGCGAAAGCGAGGGGAGAAAGCGAGACTGTCCGGTGGGCGGCACTTGCTTGAAATCCTGCGCAAGCACGTGAAACGGGAAAAATGAGTCGTCGGTGAACGAACGGAGGAGCCGCAATATTTTTGCATAGATTTTTTACAACCGTGATCGGAGTACAGGATCGGAAACTTGAACGAGATGCGAAGAAAGCTCTTCAGACAGACTTAAAAGGAAATATGTACACAGAGAGAATTTTCTCTTAGAATTTACCCTGAAAATCATGTTATTCGTGGGACAATATTGTATAGGAATAATTTTTATTAGTTTCTCTCATTCGCACCACAATAAAAATATTAATATCCACCGCAATAAGATATAAAATATGTTCGATTAATTTTACTATACAATTTAGTATCTACATATTAATATTTTTTATTGTGATAAATATTAATGAAAAACTCATGAAATTC